GTTTGGACAGCTTTTTTCCCTTAATAAATGAAATCATAATTTAAAAACTGCATTTTGTATGTACTTGCATTATCTTTATGTAATATAAAAATTTGTTTGATGATCTAAATCAGGGGTGCCCAAACTCGGTCCTGGAGGGCCGGTGTCCTGCAGAGATTAGCTCCAGCTTGCCTCAACACACCTGCCTGGAAGTTTCTAGTATGCCTATAAGAGCTTTATTAGCTACTTCAGGTGTGTTTGATTAGGGTTGGAGCTATCAGACAGGTTCTATTTAAGTGATTTCTTGATTCAACAGGTCTGGCAGTAATCAGGCCTGGGTGTGGCTAGTGAAATTCAACTCAGCTTTCTAAAATAATGTTGTTAATCACAGTTCATGATTTAACAGGAGGGGGGAATACATTTTTCACGTAGGGCCAGGTAGGTTTGGACAGCTTTTTTCCCTTAATAAATGAAATCATAATTTAAAAACTGCATTTTGTATGTACTTGCATTATCTTTATATATATAACCTAATAAAAGTCCATTTTTTATTTTCAATATTTGTTATCAATTCTTGCTGTCATTTATACATTTGTAAAAAGCATTTCTCTCTTTTTTGTCAGCAATCTTTTCACCAAGTTCACTGCAGTGCATTTACACTCTCTGCAAAGTGTACATCAGATGCAGTACAAATTATGCATCATAGAACGCAGCATGGTTATGCTACCTACCTTTTAGCATAGCCATTGCCTCATAACTATATAATATAATATACTATAAATAATGCTGTCTATATAGGTAGCACACAAGGTTTTGGAACAGAGAGTATCTTGGGAAAACCAGAGACTAAAAGGAGACTTTATAAATAGCATGTTTTGTGTGGGTATTTTGAACTACCTTAATGAAATGATGATGCAAATGTGGCCACTAAATCTGATGCAATAGATGAGCATTTCCTCACAGCGTTGTTTTCATGTGTCGTGCGGTGGGCCCGAAGCCCCCTCGGTGAGGATGAGGGTTACTGAGCCTCCTGAGCCCCATTCATAGCTATAACAGCAGCGGTGGTGCCGCCCCCCTGCACCTGCTCCCTGCGTGGACCCCACCGTCCCGGCACCGCGGCCCCCAAGAGCCACATAGTGGGAGATGGGATCAGCGTCCCCACGCTGAGCGAGACTCGCAACCTTCTTTCAAGATTCCAAATCCCCCCAGCCTCCCCACCTCACATCCTGCATCTACTTTGGTGCACGTTTTGTGCCTATTTGAACTGTGACCTTGGGCACCCCCTGGAACTCCTGCTCTGTGATGTCAGCAGGGGGTACAGTGGAGGGCAAGCCGAGGGTAGCGGCTCGTTAGCAGGTCGAGGGTCGAGAGCTTCAGGGGCCGGATTAGAGTAATGAGGGAGATGATGGAGGAAGGAGAGAGAGCGTTGAGCTTCACCTCAGCTTCCATCGATCTCAGGCACTCCAGGAAGGCCGGGAGAGATAGCAGCTCCCTAATTTGTGCTAATTATGATCCACTGTTACTCAATACTGGATTCTCCCTGCAAAGAAGGAAGTACAGAAAATAGTAAATCAAACATTGATGGCAAATCCTGGAAAAAAAGTATCACAGTTTTCACATAAATATTAAGCAGCACAGCTATTTTGTAGATTGATAATAAGAAGAAATGTTTCTTGAGCAGCAAATCAGCATATTAGAATGATTTCTGAAGGATAATGTGACACTGAAGACTGGAGTAATGATGCTGAAAATTCAGCTTTGAATCACTGGAATAAATTACTTTTTAAAATATATGAAGAGTTAATTTGCAAAAACAGATAACGTTGTTTTTTAAAATTTTCAAAAATCATGTTTTTTTATCCTGCATTCCAATTAATATCAATCAAACTGCAGTTGGGTTGTTTTGATTACATAATAATAACTAAAAAAATACAACTAACTAACACAATAAAACACAATAAAAACATGATTTATGAAAATTAAAAAAAATTTTGTAACTATATTTTAGATAAATTAAATGCAGATTTGGAGAACATAAGGGGCTTTTTTTTCTAAAACATAAAAAAAAATGTTTTACCGACCCCAAACTTTTGATTGGTAGCGTAGGCCAGGTGCACATGGACATATTTGCTGTTTGGGATTGACAACAGTATTTACTAACAGATGCAACTGTCAAACTGTCCTGTTTGTCCTCAGATTGACCAGATAACCGAAATCAAGCACCTCTTCTGTTCTTGCAAAAGCAGATAATAACCCCTGTAAAAATAAATAATATAATAAAATAAAATAAGAATAAATAAAAATCAAATATATATATGCATGCAGTATATTTTAGATTTAGCTCATTCTGGGTACACATTTGTACCCATATAATATTCACATATAATGCCTTGACTACCCCACTTTATAGTTATTGGCATCACTCATCAAAACCACATATCACATATCAATGGACCACTTCTCCCACCACAAAAACGTGAACAGAGAGAGACCAAGAGCCTACATGGTGTATTTATTCAAGCTTTCTCCTCATTCTTGGCAGACATTCAGCTGCTGTAAACAACAGACACTGATCTGACCTTTTCAATTGGTGGAGACTGAACTCACACTGTGTGAGAGCCATTCTGCAGCAAGGGTGGCAGACAAAAGCTGAACTCACGACAAGAAATCGTTATTATGTAGGACAGGGGCTTTGACTCACATTAACAGATGTGCACTTCTCTAAACTGGATGAGTATCAAGCACTTAAATGAATGCCCATGGGATTCATGACACAAGGGGATTGATGAATCTTCCCGCTGTTTGTTGTTTTGTTTGCTCTGCAGGTTTTAAGAACCGTCCCAAGTCTCTCAAAGTCTTTGTGAACCCCATCAGCCACAAGAAAGAGGCGTACCAGCTCTACCTGGACGAAGTTGCCCCGCTCTTCAAGCTGGCTGACATAGAAGCCGATGTGACCAGTAAGTCTCATGCATCTGCACTATACAGGATAACAAACAGTTACATAGATAGCTTTTCTTCACTGTTTCAGCTTGAAATCATCATGCACAGGTGACTGCCACCCCCTCAGGCCTCACTCGAGGTCGAAGTGCATTAACGTCTGCCCTCAGGGTCTGTTCACTCATAGGATTCATCCCTCAGTGCTCAATAATTCCCTATATGCTAACAAGCTGGTGCTTTACGCCATTAGGCATTGGCAGTGGATCATAGGAAATCAATATTTTAGGGTGAGGAATGTCAAGGTCCCTATGTTAATGCATCATTTGAATGCACACTTAAAAGCAAAATTAATCATGTTTACCATTGTAATTGCCATCTCTCCATGCAATTTACTAAAAACCAACGTTAAAGGAAAAACTAAATATTACATTTGACTTATAAAATATCAGAATATCCTGCACTCACCATTTTTTTATTCTAAAAATGCTTGAAATGAAATACTTGAGAAGCAACACTGCACAAGATATTAAAACTTGTTTTCATAGATTCATAATATGAATTTAAATGCATTCGTCTTATTGCACTAGCAATTTTTTTTTCAAAGATTTGTTTTTAACTTGTTTATACTTAAAACAAGTGGATAGAAACTGCCTTGTGTTACTGATGCATGCTCTGAAAACATATTTACGTATTTAATATGCAGTGATGCTTTTTATACATTTATCTTGTTTAAAAGTATTTTTAGATATTTTAACTAGAAGATTGGAAATAACATAGAATTAGTGTAGAATATTAAGAGTGGGCCATCAAGTAACCACCTAGCAACCACTCAGAACACCCTGGCAACCACATAGCATCAAACTAGCCAACATTCCAAACTTTATTATAACTGTGTGCTGCAGTTACATCATCTGCTGCTTTAAATGCTCAAGCTTTTTAAAGTCAGTTGGATTCTGATTGGCTGCCAATTTGATCATTCATCAGTTGAAAAAAGGAAAAGGTTGTGAAAGTGATACCAGTAATTTTGTTCCTCTGTGTTATATTTGTGATGTAGGCTTCCCTATTCTCATTTAATTAGAATAATTATTAAAACTTCATAGTTATTGTTGTCATTCTTGGTGTGAACAGCCATTAATTTGAATGAATTTGTACAATCTTATTCTTACATTTTCATACTACGATCTGCTTACGCCCCACTGGTGGTTACATTTAGGGGAATAACCTCATGCTTGCTTTGTTCTAAAAATCTTCCGTACGAATACAGATAAGTTTATCAAGCTTTTATTTTGTGTTAGCTTGCTCTTTTAATTTGGGTTGCTGTAGCTGAAACAGTACAGTTTGGTGCTAATAACTCCAAAAATCATTCCTAGGAAATACACATACTGATAAAATGTACTATCTACCAAGTGCATACATGTAATAGTGATGCTTATGAATATGCACAAATGTTTCATACAATCTGCTTACGCCACAGCTAGGTTTTTTTTGTAATTGTTTGCTCCCATATTAAATCACATTACGTAAATTCAGACAAAATCACCACCTCGTATAATAGATATGTTGTCTTATGATTGGGTAGAGTTATAAATGTAACGGATAAAATGTATACGGTCTACCGAGTGCATACATGTAAATATGCACAAATGTTTTGCACGATCTGCTTATGCCGTGCTAACAGTTAGGTTTAGGGGAAAACCTCAATGCTTAATTGTTTTCCAAAAATCATACGTTCCCATACAAATCAAATTGTACGAATTCAAATGAAATCACCACTTTGTAAAATAGTTACGTTTTCCCATGAGACTGGATTGAGTTAATCAAATTACTTTGCTTTTTTAAATTTGTGTTGGGGCTGCTGTAGCTCAAACAGTAGAGCATGGTGCTAGCAAAAACATTCTCAGGAAAAGCTTGAACTGATAAAATGCATACAAATGTGATGCTTATGAATATGCGCCAATGTTTGCACAACCGAGCTCTCCTTTTCTTTTATTCCCACCTCTCTCGATATCTCTCTGCAGTATGTTTGAGGTTGTGTATGTGTGTGTGCTCATACTGGAAGTAGCAGCTGTACAACACTGCTGTGGATGGTCCTAAATGCATCTCACACTCATAATGACAGGAGAAGTGTATCCTCCGTCAGTAACCTGACCCAAGGGGAGGGACTGCACCCATCTGTTCTAACACAGTGCGGGACTCCCCCCTCTCCTCCCCTTTACCCACCTCCTCACACACACATGCGCGCGCACACACACACACACACACACACACACACACACACACACACACACACACACAGAGGACCCCATACTATATATGCATAGACATCCACACACTACTACACACACACACACACACACACACCCGAACACGCACCAGGCGCCCCCTGCTTTTGGGAAGGAGACTCCACAATCTGTGCTCTAATGAATGTGGCTACCTGATTCCAGAAGCCATTTGAACAGTAATAGAATCCGTTTCCTGATGATGTGCTCCCGAGGGCAGAGGCTGAGAGCTCGAGGTGGAGCCATTAAACAACATTTTACCTAATAGAAATTAAATATCTCATTCTGCCGCTTGCAACGCAGAGCATTGAGAATATACGTGATCGAATTAGCTCTATAGACTTTGTGAGAGATGAACAGGCAATATTAGCGAACTGTCACAATTGAGAGAAGCAATTACAGTGTGTAATTCAAGGCTATTTTCTGATAACTAAAGCTTATACATGGACATCTCATTTTTTGCAGTTTTATGGTCATTTAAGAGTCTAATTTAGCATTGTATGTGCTTAGACCAGTTTTAAACCTACTGTAAGTTTGATTTTTAACTAAAATGAATGATATTTCACAGCTCAGGGCAGAATGTGGCTCAGTCAGTGAGATGTGAAAAAGGGTTGTGGTTTTGTTTGGCAAGGTCAGGGCCACATGATCCTTTAAGTTCACTTTGATTTGCACGCTCTCCCCCTACAGGTCAGCACTAAGAATTGAACTCAGAATGTCTGGAACAACATACTAAACATACTGCTATTTCTGTACTGCATCCCACAATGCAATAGTTTTTATTTTCATGTCATGAATGAACAGGAAATAATATAAGTGGCATTATTCTTTAAGCATCTTTTGAATCTGGTGATGCTACTTTTTATACAAATTTTGATTAAAACAATTAATTTTTATTTATGAGATGATAACTGCATGTTTATTAATCGCAAACAAGAGCAGTCAACCTCAGTCTCTCTCTCTCTCTCTCTCTCTCTCTCTATATATATATATACACTGTATATAAACAAAAGTACAAAAGTATTCTTAACAAAAGTATAACGTTTTCAACATTGATAATAATCAGAAATGTTTCTTGAGCAGCAAATCAGCACATTAGAATGATATCTGAAGGATCATGCGACACTGAAGACTAAAGTAACGGCTACTGAAAATGTAATTTTGCCAACACATGAATAAATTACAATAAATACATTTTAAAATCTTTTAAAATAGAAAAAAGTTATTTTATTTGTAGTATTATTTCACAATATTGCTGTTTTATAGTATTTTGATCAAATAAATGCTGCCTGGGTGAGACATCTTTCAAAAACATTAAAAAATGAATAAAACTCATGCAACAAAAAAATAAACCGTTTAATTTAAAGCTATAATCACATGATCTTCTGTCCAAACAATTGTGTGCAGGTTCTGTAGTCTGTGTGCTTCTGTTTAGGAGCTGGTACCAGGAATAGCCAGGCATGTCATAATGAACAGACACAGCACTTGCATCTCTGTGTGCATCGTGAAGCACGTTCTTAAACAACAAAAAAACATCCATCTGCAAGTGTCACATCAGCCACGGTGAGCTCTTTGATGGTTGGTCACAGCTGGGACCCGCTCCATGGTGGAGGTGCCCCAGAAAATGCTAAGTGGGGCATGGGCGTGCACAATGCCATCTGCGGCGTGCCACCCCTCTTCCCCCGCATTCAGTGGCATTCTTCCGTGCCACACAGGCCAGGGGTTTCTGCCACACGTCACCAAACCTGAATCCATAATTCTACTGGATTAAGCCTTTATCCAACAAACTGACCACATTTAACCCTATTTTTTCGGACCTGTGACCCTCTGATTACCTTGTTACCTAAGCTATGTCACAGCACTGCAGTAACTGCAAACCACACAGTGAATGCTGGGAACAATCTTGACCTTGTTTTGTGCAGCTTGGGCAAGCTGAACACAAGAGCGGTCGCCTCTTTGTACCACAACTCATATTCTTGATTAAAAATGCAAACAGCATGCAAGTATAAATTCTGTTTTACAGCCAGGACCATATGTTCGGCTTAAGCCATTTGCCAATGCCTGGAAAAGGGTACTAAAGGCAGTTTGGAGTGCTTTTTTTTTTTTTTAAACATTAACTCTTTCTTTTCCACAGTCACCAAGAGAAAGGGCCACGCACTGTCCATTCTGAAAGACTGCAGCTTGGAAGACTATGATGGGTATGTATACTTCATGACAACAACAAAAACAACAACAAAATAATCTCCAGTGGTATGATTCAGTCTATGAAACATTTTAGTAGTGGGTTGGAGCAGTGCATTTAAACTATCATAAATATATGCTTTGCTTTTTAAACAAATATATTCTTTTTCAAATCATGTGTGTGTTATATGTATACATATATACATATACATACTGTATATATGCATGCTAATAATCCATACCATGCTTTTTTAATTTTACAGTAATGCAAATTATTTTTTCATCATGGGGTTATTTTAGCTAAGTAAAACTAAAACTAAGTAAATAAATAAATAAATAAATAAAATAACTTAAATATAATTTTTTTTTAACTAACTAGCTTAGCTATTTGCCAAGGAAATAGATCACATTTTCATTTTGTTTAACTCGATGTACTAAAAATAACAAGTCAAATAATAAGTCACTTAATGAAATATACAAAGTCATATTTAAAAACAAAACTAATAAAAATGATAAACATGACAAAATGAAAATGGAAAAATAAAAACTCATTTAAAGTAATAAAAAAATCTCAATGATCCTAAAATAACAGTGGGCTCTCTGAACAAACGCTAAATGTGCTGAACCAAAAGATTAGCAAAAGTAAACTAAACTAATTAAAAGGAATTCTGTCATCAAAAGTGTCATTTATGGTAATGTCCAAGTTGCTCTTTTCCATACAGTAAAAGTAAATGGTGACCACAGCTGTCAATCAAGATTTTGGTCACACTTAATTTGGGGGCTAATGCTCACTATTAACTAGCCTAATAATACTAATTATGACTTTTGCCTCAAACTCCTAATTTACTGCTAGTTCTTAACTACGGTAGTTGTTAAGTTTTAGGTATAGGGTAGGATTAAGGAATATACAATACAGTCAGGCAGAATAAAACATTAATATGTGCTTTATTAGTACTAATAAACAGCCAATATGCCAGTAATATGCATGCTAATAAGTAACTACTTAATAGTGAAAAGTGGTCCCTAAGCTAAAATGCATTTTATGCCTTTACTGGATTGGACAATATAGAGATCAGGCATGAAAGTGGTGAACAGCATCGGCAAAGGACTCAAGCCGGAAATCGAACTCGGGTCACTGGAGGTGTAATTGCGCTGTATGTCGGAGTGCAGCTCAAGAGGCTATTGTTTCCGACGGGATTTCCAATGAATAAATACATTTTAGTCTATTCATCACAGAAAGCTATCATACGGTTTCAGAATATTTGTAATATAGCGCACAAGTTGCATGGACTACATGTAGTCCTTTTGGGAGTTTGTCAACCTCTGGTCACTATATAGAAGAGAACGGTCATTCTTTTATATAAGACAGCAAGGAAGAAAAAGCATGAGAAAAGGAGAACTGTCCCTTTAAAGGCCGTTTTATGATGCGAGTGAAGATGGCATGGATTCAAAGCCAGATGACAGAGTAATCCTGCCTCTCTCGAGGTGACATTTAGCCTTAATAAATAAAGTAGTGTTTGGGACAGAGAGAAGAGAGAGAGAGAGAGAGAAAAAGGCAGAGGTGGATTTTTGCAAAATGAGTGATAATACTTTGATTGGAGCGGCGTGCCGCGGGGCCCAGTGCGGAGCTCTCCGGTAGAGCAGGTCTCTCCGGTGCGGCTCGGCAGGTGGCTCCTTAATTACCTGTTCTGGAAGCAGTGATGAAGTACCGCCATCCAGCCGACCGCGGGTGCGGGGCATCGCTCACACCACATTGTACGGTCTCTCTCCGCGTGCTCCAGTACTTCTCACAATTAGCTCCTCTTAAATATCTCCGGCCCCGGCTTAACGCTCATCCGTTACTGCCGCCCTACTGTTCCGCTGCATCCTCTGGGCTCGGTGGGAGGGGACGTGCTGGGTCTGGCACAGTGGTCTTTGATTAAAAACACAGCGTGCAGGTTCACGGCAGTGACAAAGGGGCAAGGGCAAGCGCCGAGCGAAGAACACATTCACGTTGAATGGTGATTAATCTGTGGTGTATGAAGGTGGTAAGAGGGCTTGGTGGCCGGGTTCTTGCGAATCTAGAAATAAAGAGATCAGACACTGTAAGAGGTCGAAGTGGAACTTCAACAGTAAGATGAAGTTTGCGTAGGAAGACATAAAACCACAGGGTTGAGGATCAAAGACATGGTGTCAGTATTACCGTGAGGCCTATAGGGCTATCACAATATATTTACTGATGATAGAGATGTGTGCAGGACTGCTTTATATAATTTATATGTGAGAGTGATGAAGAAACATGGAGCAATGAGAAAATAGAGAGCATGAAGTATTCTAGATGAAGTCCAGATTAGGAAAAACGGTTTGATTTTAGTGGTCTATAGCAATTTGCCACATTAATATTAAATTTAATTGATGTGAAGCTGTTTTTGCACCAAGAAAAAAGGGGGGGAAAAGAGGGGGAAAATGTTGAAAAAAAGGAAATAGTATTTTTTCTGCTTTAATATGAATATTATTATTTTCTGCTTTAATATTAATAGAAATAAATATTTTTTAAATATTATCGTATTGTTACTATTTGGGGTCTGTAATTTGTTTTTTTTAATGTTACATTTTCTTAAGCTCACCAAGGCTGTATTTATTTGATCAAAATGAAGTAAAAACTTTAATATTGTGAAATATTATTACTATTTAAAATAACTATTTTCTGTTTGAATATATTATAAATGTAATTTATTCCTGCGAGGGCAAGGCTACATTTTTATTTATATATATATATATATAAATAAAAGACTTTGGCATAGCCATTTTTTCAGGATTTGGATGAACAAAGTTTAATGAACAGCATTTATTTATTTATTATTTTTTTTTTTTCAGAATAGAATTGTATTGTAACATTATAAATGTCTTTACGGTCACTTTTGGTAAATCTAATGCATCCTTACTGAATAAAAGTATTAATTTATTAAAATATTGACTTACTTGTATGTACTGATTTATAATTTAAATCAAATTCTGGTAAGATTATATAACTGCTTAAAAAAAGAGCAATATTAAATCACAGAATAATGTTATCAATAAAAGTGATTACATCAAACCTACAGAATTTTACAGAAAAAAAAAAAACTCAAAGTAATGCTACTGAAAATTTTTGTTATCGGTGAAGTGTGTAAACATACAGTAATTGCAAAGTTTTTTTCTAACATTGAACAAACAGAAACATCCACCTTTAATTCACCCAGTTGGCTGAGACAATTTTACTGTGTAGAGCTGCTCAAACACTTCAACCCACAAATACCTTGTAGTTGTCTCTGCATGTTAAGCTGAAATGAGAGAAAACATTTTAACACTAAGTTAGTAGCATTACTGCTTTAGTTACACCTTTAGTTACTCCTCAGTTATGACCTTGTGGCATCATACATCATATCTTTGCACTTATGCTAATAGATTTCATTACAGATAATAGATTTCTCTTGTTCTTGTACAGCGCAGCTCTAAGACTCAAGACTTAACGCTGAGGATAATGCCTGGAATTTCGACATCAGTCATGATCTGTCTGTGTATTCCAATTTCACAAAGCTTATTCTTTATTGAAGATTATAGAAATGATGCTCTGATGATTTTTGTTGAAATTTAATTTTCTGTCAGCATGACAAATCACTGAGGATATCTAAGCTACTTAACCCGATGGGGGAAAAAGAGAGAGAAAAAAAGATCACTTTCTGTTGTTTGCTAAACAGGATCATCTTCAAGCAGGGAATGTGTGTCAGTACTATTGTTACAGCCACATGGGGCACGTTTCAATCACACGATGGTGCTACACAGAGTGGTCTTCACAGGGATAGCTCGCTCAAAGAATAAAAATGGTCATCTTTTAGTCACTCTCATGTTGTTCCAAATCTGTATGACTTTCTTTCTACTGTGGAACACAAAAGAAGATATTTTGAAAAGTCAGTTATTGTACATATACATACATACATATATATATATATATATATATATATCAGTAGGCTTTATAAAGGTGATAATACTAGTCCAGATTTTACATAATAGTTTAATAATACATTAAAACACACCATCTTCAACACCTCAGCAAAAGCAAAAGAAAAGAAGAAACTTGAATAATTCCCCACATCCCATTTTTTCCCTGTCTAGGAAATGTGTTACACAGCACTCTAAACTCAGTCCCCTGTCCTCATTCCTCTGAACTCGATTAATTAACCTCTGAAGAATTAATTCTGCAAAGGTAATACTAATCACACGTTTTTTTCATTAATAGATCATCACTCATTAATTACTTCAGCAACTGATGCTTCCACCAGTTTAAATGGAGTGCTGCTATTTCAGTTATGTCTCACGCGCCACACACAATAGACGTTAAAGTGATGGCACATCAGCGATAGATGCAATTATTCCCCTCACACATTTATGGTAATTGTCAGCACCCTGAATGCAAAGACCTTATTTGTGCAAATTTTAATGCCATCACATTGACTGCTGATAGATGGGAAGTGAGATAAGTGGCAAAATATTAGACCGACATGCAGTGTTGAGGAACGTTACTTTACGTGTAATCAGTATGTTACATTACTTTTGCATTTGTATGTCTAACCATCAGCTCCCCAATACTCTCTTTCCTTCGAAATGGAAGCCGTATGCTTGACTTTCAGGCATTTTTATATTGAAAATTTAATTTTTACTTGCCTAATATAAGCTATAATAGCTCTCAGACAAAAAATAAAAAGTACAAAACTGGGGCAGTACACTTTCAAAAGTTACTAATATGTACCATTGGGGAGTAAATAAAGTACCCCAATTTACCTTTGTTCCATTGCATTGATGGCTTTGCACCTTTTTCTGATTTACCTGATTTTTATTGCAATGTCACAAATCACAAACTTAATGCAAACCCTGATGTCATATTTTCGACAGAAAATTGCCTGTTTTTTTTTAAGCAGAAAATGTTGGGAATTGGGGGCTGAAAGAAAACAGTCACATTCTGTACGTCTGATCACCGTGACAATCTGTAAAACTATGATACCCATCATGCTTGCTCATACTACAACAACTCTTACAATGCTTGTGCACCTTATTTATACTCTTACTTTTCCCAACATGGAGAAGAGAGAGACGTTTTCAGTTGTATTTATCAGTAAATAAGTTGAATAAAATATAAATAAAACATGCATTACTTATTAAAAATATGCATTAAGTGAGATATTATGGTGCAAATTAACTTTACTATTTGAAAAAAAGGGGAACAAAGAAAAAAGAAAACTCCATAATGTGCATTACTTGTATCTAGGGCTGTCTCCCTCATTTTGTCTCTCATAGTTGAGGTATACCTATGATGAAAATTACAGGCCTCTCTCATCTTTTTAAGTGGGAGAACTTGCACAATTGGTGGCTGACTAAATACTTTTTTGCCCCACTGTACATACATAAATCAATCATGCATTTGATCAAAATGAATCATACCCTCTGACTTTTAAGTAAACTTCATAAGAGTTTTAGGTCACACTTTATTTTAAGGTCCAATTCTCGCCATTAACAAACCATTAACTATGACTTTTGCCTCAATAAACACCTAATTTGCTGCTTATTAATAGTTAGTAAGGTAGTTGTTAAATTTAGGTATTGGGATTAGGGATATGTAGAATATTGGGATATAGTAGAATATGGCCATGCAGAATACGTGCTTTATAAGTCCTACTAAACTGTCAATATGTTATGCATGGTAATAAGTGACTAGTTAATAGTCAGAATTGGTCTCTATAGAGAAATTCAAGTTCCACTAACATGTTTTTTTTTCAAGTTAGAGGAGCAAGTCTAAGTATTTTCAAAGTTACTAAGAACTAGTTTTAATGTCACAGCATTTTACATTTTGACACTCATAGCGTGAGACAAGATGAAACAACCAAAAACGCATCTGTACATAGTCAAACCATTTAAAGAAATGGCAGACTCAATGTGAAGTCGATCTTGGGCAAATTAAACTCCAAAAAAATTAATTACTGTGAACTAGTGATGAGCTTACATATACTTATAACGAAATAAAACTTTATTTTGATATATAAAGCCTCTTTTTGTAATTTTTTTTTTTTATGCATCTGATGCATTAATGTATTTGAATTATATTCATTTGGGGGCTTAATTGTCTTAAGTATTGATATGCTATTAATTTTTATTTAATTAATCAGCAATTCGTGTAATTGATCTGATTAACATTCTTAATCAGCTGACTGCCCTACATGCAACATGTTAACTTCAACAGTGAACCTTGGTTAATGTGGAATGGAACTTGTTCATCTCGACCCCATCCGTCATTCCCATAAAGCTCTGCATTGTCTGTGCACGTCGTGTGTTTGGTGAGGCCTCTAAGTTGAAGCTTTAACCTCTACAGATGAAGATAAGGCACAGTCTCTGACACCTGCCAAAAGGATCACAGTTAGTCCCTTCCACTCCTCCATAAAATAACCCAAAGGTGAATAGGTGAGCTTTGATGTATCGCTTAATATTTACTAACCCGATTTGGTAGATTCGCAGCGTCCTTCGAGACTTAACATATATGGCGGATCAAAACATTGCAATCAGATTTATCCCAAACACCTGCGACTGCAAGGTCACAGAACTCATTTTGTGAGTGGTATGGCTACTTGCTTATTAGTGCTGGCCGTGTCTGCTAAACAAATCTATTTGTGAGATTGTACAGTATTGCTAAAGGGCATTTCTGAATTAAATGTAATCAGCTTTACTAGGCTGTGTTCATTTATTAGTAATGTGCTTAAAGCAGATTAGTGGGCTCAGCCGTTTTTAATGATTTATTTTGCTGCTGAGATCTGACAGATTTTCTGCTATTCTTGAAAAAAAAAGGACATTTCCCAATTAAAATACACGCCTTCCACGGTTTCATCTATTGTTCAATACGACGTAATGGGAATTATGGTTTCCATTAATTGAAATGGATTCTTCTAATAAAGACTTTGTCACTTTATTATAATTTTTAATCATATTTAAGGAATAACTGTGCCATTTTCGCCATGTGTAATCTGTATATTCAATCAAATACACGTCCATATGGATTTACATTTATCCACATATGAGTGAACAACAGCCTAATTGTTACATGTGTGTTAGCCAGCCCTTGGCCATGAGTTTGGGTCACGTGACTCACCGCCCATCCGTTTGCTTTCTCTCTAGTGTGGTATGTGTTGGGGGAGATGGCTCTGTAGCTGAGGTGGCCCACGGGTTGCTTCTCCGGGCCCAGATGGACGCTGGGAGGGACACAGATTCTATCTTCACGCCTCTCCAAGCAGCACTTCCTCTCGGCATAATACCAGCAGGTGAGGATCAGGGGTGGTGTATCTCTTTCTCCTGCAGCTGTCCCCAGTACAGCCCAAAACGTCCAGCTCTTCTCAGGAGAGCGCATGCGAATCAGCGCTCGGTCCTCGCTGAGTCAACATGAATTCAAAATTGACCCAATTTGCTTTTATTACAAACGTTATTTAAGACACGCATACTGTGCATGATTCATCATATGCATTAAACACGTTACATATACAGTACATATTATTCTGAAAGTAAGAATTTTTTTTTAGTTTTGCATATTTATAGCAATATATCTCTGGCTTTTTCCAGATGATTGTCACAAAACCAAATCTTTAACCTCTCCCCCTCAAACCACCTGGCTCCATTCTAGTATGTAACACCCACTTTCCAAAACACAAATTCCCAATGGTTATTCTTGTTGAATATCATGTTTCAGAAGTACATTAGAGTATGGAAGTAAATACCAATTTTACTTGCATAATCTGTAAAAGTATTTTTTTATATAAATTAAGTTTAATATTAAAAACATAAAAATAATAATCATAATATAAATTATATATTATAGTTTCTGGTACAGTTGTCTGTGTGCGTGTATATGCATGTATACACACACACACACACACACACATACACACGCACGCATGCACGTGCGCACACACACACACACACCAATTATACTTGAATAATCTGTAAATTACATATTTCTAATAACACATATGTCATGTTCACCAAATAAATTAATACACAAATGTAAAAAATTAAATATAATAATAATAATAATTATTATTATATATAAACACATTAATTATATCTTATGTTTTATATTATACAGTATTATTAATTTGAAGCCATCTTTACCGGAATAATGTGTAAATTACATATTTTTTATGACAAATATTTCATTTTTACCAAATAAATAAATACATAAATGTAAAAAATAACTAAATAATAATAATAATAATAATAGTTTCTTGTCTTATTGTATACTTAGATTAATCAATTATAAATGCTGTAACATTATATTATACTATATTAGCAGATCAAAACTAATTTAACTTGAATAATCTGTAAAATAAATTATTTTATTATTAAACTTAAAAAATATATTGAAAACACTAGCATACATGTTTACATCCTCAAAAAAGACTAAAAGCCACAAACAATTGTGAGGTACTTAAATACCTTCATGAGGTATTTAAATGAAGAAACTGAAATAAAACCTATAATTGATAATCACAGCATGTCAAAATATGAGTAAAACATGATAATGTATAGCAACGGCCTTGTGGGTAAACCATGCGATTTTTTATGCTTCATTCCGGCACTGAAACAATCAGAGGCGTGCTGCCAATTAAAAATCGAACCCTGTAGTAATTTCGGTCTCTAGTTTCTGTGCTGTCAGAATGATTTAGTTTGATTGTGTTCTGAAACTCCTCTAGCGAAAACAAACAGGCAGCTCATAACAGCAGCAAGCGAGTGTATCATTATCAAATTGATTTAATCACAGTCAGGCCTCTGAATGGCCCACTCGCACACTGAGTTAATTGCCTTCAATAGTGTCTGAAATGGAGCATCCTCCATTTGACTCTCCTTTGCTGCCTTTGAAACGGACTCCACTGGCCTTGGATCAGCGGCCCTATTGTGCACACTCACACAGGACTGACTAAGCTCAGATATTTTCTCTTTTTTTGCGGGAGTGTGGCACAAACCAACCCCAAAGAGCTGCCAAACTGGGCTGGGAAGAGGAGGGGTGAGCAGGGTAGATGGGTACGGTAGCGGCCCCTACTTTTTCGGCCAAGAGATTGACCTTCACTTGTCATTTCAGGCGCAGCAAAATGGAGTGCTGTTGTTAGGAGCAATGGAAGCCCTCCAACTCCGCACCCACTGCAATCTGACCGTACCGGGGTCACGCTTTCTCTTCATTAGTGCCGAATCCCACGGGAGTATTTGTAAACAGTTTCCTGTCACAAATGCAGAGGGGAAAAAAACGACCCCCTACCTCTGCCGTTTTCCTGCACGGGTTTAGATGTGTCGTTTGGTGTGACATCAGACCCAGGTCAATCCTAAGGGATAGAGGAAATGGAGTCAAATTGACTCTCTTTGTTACAGCTTTGCAAAAACACCCATGCAAACTCTTAAAAATAAAGGTTTCCAAAAGTGGGCTTTCACAGCGATGCCATAGAAGAACCATTATTGGACTTTTTCAGTAATCAGATCCTAAAAGAACCATGATTTTGTTGGTGAACACCATTTTAATAATCTACACTCTTAAAGACAAAAGTTCCAAAAGGTTTTTTGTTTTTTTTGCAGTAGAAAGAACCTTCTGGTGAACAGTTCGATTTTTTTTGTTAGTGTGAAGAACATTTCATAATCTTAAAAACCTTTTTCCACTATAAAGATCCTTTTGTATAACAAAAAGGTTCCATGGATGATAAAGGTTGATAAAGGCACCTTTTGTGCAATCGAAACGTTCAATGAATGTTAAAGGTTCTACTTGGAACTACTGATGCCAATGAAGAACTTATTTTTAAGAATGTAACAAACCTTTTGTGCAATGGAAAGGTTTAATGGAGGTTAAAGGTTCTTCATGGAACCATTGATGAAAAGGTACCATGGATGTTGAAGGTTCTACATGGAACCATTGATGCCAATGAAGAAACTTTATTTTTAAAAATGTAAAACTTTTGTGCAATGGAAAGGTCCAATGGAGGTTAAAGGTTCTTCATGGAAGGATCTATGCCAATAAAGAACCCGAATCAACTATAGTGATTTACCGCAAGTAATTACCATGTGCATATCAATAAAATATACAAGAAATGGCCCTCGTATGGCAGCCAAGTTGATGTCTAATTATCTTAGCTGGAAAACAGACTAGCTTCTTTAACACTTTAATTTGTCATTTTTATGTCAGTATTCATAACACAGTCAAGTTGAACAAACATTTGAGTTTTTCTTTTTCGAAAAATTAAACTAATTACAAAGAGCGTTTCAAATACCTTATTTACACAATGCAGGATAAACATGCAAAAATGCGGCGCCCTGCCCAATTAAAGGCTTTCTCACTGCACCATATATACTCCTCGGTACGTATAGCATATAAATTGCAGGCGTCTAATTAATTTGCCTGCTTTTAAGGGTTTCAGGGGGACTGTTAATTTCTTTGATATTCCAGGCAAAGAACCAAAATGTTGGTGCAGTTTCCACGAGACTCTTAGACATGCTTGACTAGCGAGTCATTGCATCACATTCATCTGCCTGGATGAGGGAGACATTAACTGCCTTATGAATATTCATGCTGTCTGCTTAATTAAGTTAATTGTTCTGCAGAAGTGCTTGCACTTCCAAGGACAATTTTTCTCTCTCTCTCTGTTTCTCCCCCACATCTCTCTCTTTCAAAGCCCCCTTCCTTCCTATTCGCCCCCCCTACTCTAATATCTGGGCGCTACTACCATTCGTCACCGGGTTCTGGAATGGAGATGGGTAATATATGGAACTCCTGATGATGTTGGCACAGGCTGTTGCTCTGAGCCTTGCGGGAGAGACAGATGCACGCTTGAAATATAGTGTTACTGCACGGCAGCAGCGCTACAGACACCACCCAACAACAAAAGAACAAAACGATCAATGTCAAACACCAAAAAACATCGTCTTACGTGCAGTACATACGATGTGGAATGACAACACTTCGGCGAACCTCAAGTGGGCTTTACCAGATCTCTGTTAGAAATGGTAATTTTAGCATTCAGATAATGAGCTTTTAATATTACACTCACTGAGACTGTTAAGTAACCGCATTCATTATATTTCTTTTAATTGGCGGTAGACCAAGCGCTCCTTATATTACAGATTCTCACATGCCTATTGCTTTCACCGGAATTTATCCCTGCAGGGCTCACTTTGCTAAAGCCACAGCTTGACGTTTATGATGGGGAGTGATATCAGCTCTGTTCCAAAACCTAGTGAGTTGCCTACGTAGGCAGTGTTTTAAGATGTAATATGCATGCTTCCTGATGTGAAGGCTGTTTCAAAATGAAAAAAAGAAATGTATGTGCATCAGGCCAAATTCTGAAGCATCTTCACGCGGAGTAGGCTAAACCATAATTGAAAAAAATTAAATAAAAACCTAAGATGGGATATACTATATTATATTCTAAATATAACACTGTAAAAAATTATGTGATCAATACTTCATGGTAACATGTTTTTCTATTATTTTAACTCAACAACTTCACCTTTTTTTATTATTATTATATAAGATTCAGCTCAATTTTTTAAGTCAGTTTAATATAAGTCAAAATTACTTATATAGCTATTGTGATTATACTTAAAAATTTGAGGCAGCAACTGAACTTAAGTTAAGTAGGTGGGAATTTTTTACAGTGTACAGAAAAATATATACAGTAAAATGTGAATTCGATTAAAAATTATTAAAAAATCTATTTAAAAAACGTATATTTTTTTCCAATCAGTGCGCTATGTCTTTGTTATTGACATTTTCACGACAATTAAGCACATTTTCCAAGAAAATTTGCATAATGACATTTTGCTTTCATTACCAAAAATATATTTTAAAGCTAGAATTAGGATTAATTAAATTCAGTACAATAAAACTACAATATCATCTACATAACATTTAAATAACTATTTGGGGAGAAAATTATCTTAATTGTATTTAAAGAAACAAAAATCCCCAAAAGTCTCAAATCCTCATGACAATACAATAAATGTCATTATTACTGCAATGAGGGGGAAAAAAAGTCTAATTTTCATTCTTACAAACACTGTAATAAAATGCTTTTTTTTTAAGGCAGCATGAATTAAATAAAAATTTGATTAATTTTCATGAAAACATCACGATCCTCAAATAGAATTTGAATGGAATCCACTGAAGGGCCTACTGTGCCCATTATCAATTCGGAGTGTCTATTTACACTAAGTGCAAATAGCTCGCCTTGTTGGCAGAGGCTATTTACACTAACTCCACCCACCAACGTGTGATTCGGCTAGTCAACATTACAAAAGACAGTCAGCAGTCTTCAACTCCAGTGGCGCAGATGGTAAAACAGGTGTCGTACTCATTTTGACGCGATCTACCCGGGTTCGAATCCGCCTTTTGCCGAATATTTTCTTCCTTTTCAAATTTCAAATCACATCAGAAAAGCATTTATTTTCAATGAAAATGAAGGAAATAATCAAAAAGTAGAAAATAAAGTATCGGGTAGGTGTAGGGAGGGCTTTATTGTCCCAGTAAGGTGGCATGCATTTAATAATAAATGTACTACAATACCGAGGTGCAGATAATTGCCACTATTTGCAATAAGTAGTATAAATAGCAGAAAATCCTGCTATTTTAGCATAGTGTAAATAGAATCTATAGCTATTTGCACTTAGTGTAAATAGCATATCACTAAAAAATGCTGCTATTTGCACTGTGTAAAAAGCATCTATCGTTAAGAAAATATGCTATTTTCACTTAGTGTAAATAGCATCTATCATTATTTACACTTCGTGCAAATAGCCGCTGCCTTATCAATTACTACTAAACACAAAAACATTAAATGCTCCAAAAGTGTATTAATTTAATATGGGGCAAATATCTATTCTGCAGAAAGCTCAGAGATACTAATTTTCTGAGTGTTTTATTGATTTTGGCAAAAAGTCTTATGTTTTGCCTTTTGTTTTCATTTTAATGGGACATATAATAATAAACGTACATAACGCTTCAGAAAAAAAAAAAGTCACGACTCGTGAAACAAGTCGCATACAGGATGTACTCATCTGATTAATCTACTGAATACTCATGTGAACAAAATGACTAAAAGTACAGCAGCTCACTGTTTTGGAAGTCAGTCAGACAGACGGCGTTACCTTTACCGAGTCGAGGCTCAGAGCTGGGCTTTTGTGTTGAAATCATCACAACATATGGAAACTCCCAGAGAGGCCAGGAAGCATCATGGATGTGTTTGTGAGGGAGGGCAACATTTCCAGTGACCTGGTAGGTGGGAAGAGGCACATGTACTTGCAGCCAAATTCAGTTGGAGTGTGAGTGTGTGTCCAGCACTGTAGGCCTGGCCGTCTCTATCGGCAGAAAGGGAGGGAACGGTTTCATCCAACACCTCCGTCCTGTTCTCATTTACAGACATTTGCTTTCATACCCTGTTGATCTGAGCAAACACACTGGCCAGATAACTGCATGAAAGGAAATGCCTACTCACCCGACAAGGACAAGCCTCTCTCTCTGCTGTTTGTCTCTGGTAGTAATCAGTACAAATACACACACCTGTTCTCCCTTCGCAAGCTGCCAGCAAGGTGAACCGCCTTAATTAGCACAAGGCGATATTAACTTAAATGAATGCCCTTTAACAAAGTCCTCATCCTGTAATGATTAACTTTACCTCACTCATTAGATGGGCGAAGCTGCTGCTGTTTTTAAATCAATGCTGCGTCCCAACTCGCATACTAGTCTAAACAGTGTGCCAGACGAGATTTAGTGTGTCCCAAATCACAGGACATTGACAATAATATTGCAAACGTGTCTGATATTTCGGAATGGGTGAATCTTAAGACTTTTATCTCCTGTTCAGGTTATATTTTACCTTAAAAACAAATATGTGGCACAGTATTCAAATGATCTCGTAGCATCAGCTTGTGTCTAAAGAGAAAGCTTTATCTCAAAATCACCTGTCCAGAGACATATGATAACTCTGTGTGACAAACAGACCAAAATTTTTCATTTTTCACTGATAATTGCACAAAGTCTCATATCACATTCAGTAGACTTGGAATGTAGTGCATTTTATGTTGCATTTTCAGAAACAACAATGTGAAATTGAAAAATCAAGTCTTGTGTACAATATTATGATTATAATGGATACAATATTTTCATATTAATATACACTGTAATACAATTCTTGACTGTTTGGACACAAAGACAGCATACATTACATTACATTAATAAAACATCTGTCATATTTATATACTGAATTCAGAATTTAAGGAAAAATATCTTCAAAAATAGTTGCATTTTTAGGATCATTATAATATAATATAATATAATATAATATAATATAAATCATTATAATATAATATAATATAATATAATATAATATAATATAATTGCCTAATAATGCCCATAACTTCTTGTGCTATGACGTTTTTGGACAAGTGAACAAGTTTTTTTTTCTTTGCAGTACGTCACAACAGCATCACTACAGACTCATAAGTATGCACTTTCCTAAAGTACATGGCTTTAGTGCATAGTGTATCAATTGAATAAAAATAACTGAAAAATCAGCTGAAATTCATCTTTTAATATTGTTATGCTCTGAAAGGAAAACATGCTAAACAAAGAAAACTGCAATTAGAGAATATAAAGGCCATAGATTATTGAGGACTTTAAGTGAGGCGTGATTGGTCGAACAGAAATTGAATGGACAGGTTCCCATTCTGTCCCCTGTAGCAGGTGCTGGAGAACATTGATATGCAGAGGAGATAGTCTACTATAATAAAGCAAAGCTAAATTTTTTCACGTTTCTGTAGCCATTCTTAATGGAATCTCATCACTCACTGAGAGTAAACAGTGTCTGTGCAGGGATACACACTATAGCAAACATCATGGGACCATATGCCACAGCATTCAGATGGTCTCATAGCATCAGCATCAGTGTGTGTCTAACGAGAAAAAGCTTTATCACAAAATCACCTGTGCGGAGAACAGAATTTATCCAAATAGAAAGCTTGCTTGTTTATGAAATGCACAAGTCCACTTAAAGGAACAGTTTACCTAAAAAGCAAATCCAAATCTGAATGCTGTGTCTGTGGCACACAAGAGAAATACTGATGAATCTTAGCTCAAGTTATTTTCTTACCACGACTCAAGCTCCAAAAAACCCCAAAAAACACTATGCAAGTCAATGGGGACTATCCCTTTAAGTAATATTGTCGTATGAACTATGTTTTTGGTTCTTTTAGTGTATTTCGGGGCTTAATCGCTATAAACTATTAAAAAGTGTTAAAATGTGTTTAATTATCCCTCTATAGGTTCTACTGATGTGGTGGCCTGCTCCGTGCATGGAATAAGACGTGCTGTGACTGCAACCTTGCACATCATCATGGGTATGTTTTTTTAATTTTGAGTTTCTTTCTCTCCTTCATGCATGAGCTTCTAGTCATTCTCTAGCCTGGACGCTAACAGTAAGGCCTCGAGGAACCATGGGACTTAATGGAGCACAAATATACATGATAATAATATGTAAATGGGATTCGTATTTACTTTTCAATTCCACTGAGTTATGTGTGTAGGGGCAACGGTTTCATTTCCACCCATTGGAAGTCTCTCTCCCTCTTTTTGGTGTATCATAATGGTGGCGCATGCGGTGGCTCTCTGTAATCGGTTGTTTAATTAGAGTGCACAGACTGTTGTTATGGGGGCCGAGAGAAGACAAACCCCCCGCATGGGCTCTGCCTCTCCAGCTTTGGAGATCATGGTTAACAGGTCCCATGGAACGAGAGACGGTCCCGGGAGAGGTGGAGATACGTCTGTCGTCAATCACCCGTACGGTCCCGCCACAAACACAGAGTTTCTTTGACGTTGCTGTGGGCCATCGTTGGAAGTGTTACTTCTGGCTGGCAGTGTTCTCTTTGGCTTTAGTGCTGCGTGTCCCTGTCTGTCTGTCTTTCTGTGAGGCGTTTTTGAAGTTAGCACCAATATGTCTGGGCCATTGTGTCGACTGTGCAAGCTCTCCTGGGCTTAGCTTAACAGACAAGCGGATTTGGCTTGTGTCAGGGGATTACATGCACAAGCTAAGCTCGCATCCTCCAAAAAAAGAAAAAGAACATGTACTGGCAAAAATTTTGCTTTACAGCTGAATTACGACTGGGATGAACACAATCAGAACCGCACAATAGAATTACAGAATCAGTTGTGTGCACAAGTTAATGAGTTTTTTTAGTTGTCACTGTTTCGTTGTTCTTTGTGGATTATTGAGAAATGATTATCTGGTGATATTTTGTTTTCCAATCACAGGCTTCATATGAAGTTCCTTGTTGCGTTAAAGGAATAGTTCACCCAAAAATTAAAATCCTGTCATTATTTACTTACAGTACCCTCATGTTATTCCAGAACACTTCTTTAGAAGACAAAAGGAGCATTTTAGATAACCTTCATATAGTTATTTTCCATACAATGACAATCAGACTTCAAAACATACCAAAACAGCATAAAAAGCAACATAAAGGTAGTCCAAATGACTCATGCACTATATTCTAAGTCTTCTAAAGCTTTGGGAGAAGAACAGGCTGAAATTTAAAGGGACGGTTCACCCAAAAATGAAAACCCTATCAATTACTCACTCTCATGTCATTACAGAATGCTGTATGCAGTTATTTTCTTCTGTAGAAGACAAAAGAAGAATTTTTAGTGAATTTTCACAGGTCTTTTCCATATAATGACAATCAGGGTTCAATATGTACAAAAACAATGTAAAAAGCCTCATAAAAGTGGTCCAAGTGACACATGCACTATATATTCTGAGTCATTTGAAGTCATACTCTAACTTTGTGTGAAGACAGATTGAAATTTAAAGGGATAGTTCACCCAAAAATGAAAATTCTGTTATTATTTACTCACCCTTATGTCATTCCAGAATGATATATCCATATTTACATCTGTAGAAGACAAATGGAGATTTTTAGGGAATCTTTACATAGTTCTTTTTAATACAATGACAATTAATATGACTCATGAACTATATTCTAAGACTTATAAGATATCTAAAATCATATGATTGCTTTGTGTAAAGATAGCTTTTTGTAACTGTATTTTGGTATTTACCTCTGTACAAGACAAAATGAGAATTTTTAAGGAATTTTCACTTTTTCAACAATTAGACTTCAAAAATGCACAAAAAATACCATAAAATTATTCCATATGACTCATGCACTATATTCTGAAGTCAAATGATAGATGTGAAAAAAGACTGAAATTTAAAGGGACAGTTAACTCAAAAAAAGCGAATATTCTGTCGTAATTCACCGTAATTTTGCTCCAAATATTTGACTTTATTTCTTCTGTGGAACACAAATATATTGAAGAATGTCTGTGTATATTAAAAAATGTCTGTGTTTATAGAGCTCTATGTTGTTTGGTCCCCACCGGCTTTCATTGTATGAACAAAAACAGTTATGACATTCATGTTTTTTGTGTGTTTCACGCAGGTTTGTAACAAAATGTTTGGGTGAACCCTTTAAAGGCGCAAAACTGGATTGTGTGACAAAATTAGATGACAAACCCTGAGAACTGGTGCTGCCTAAAACTCTCCGGCCCATTTCTGTCCTCGCTTGGCTACAGACTCGGATGATTAACCGCAATCTCACCTCCACGTGTGCGAGAATGCGTCTCATCATTAAGTCCTAAGAATTGAGCCATATGGTATTGTAACTCATAGGCTAGCTTTTGACTAAAGGGAGGTGTGAGTTTTAAGAACAAGTGCTGAATTTCTTTTGTTAGCTGAGATTGGCACCTTCTCTGTGCACCGCGGTACGCTCGCCATCTCAGCAGGAACATCCTTGTACCGCCGTGATTAATTGCTCCATCAAAACATTGTGGCTCTCGGTACGAACCGCTGAGCTAAGTGTAGGCACTCGCTCAACAAAAGACAGCTTTTCCTAAGAAGACATTCCGACATGCAGGCATTAGGTGTCTTATGTGAAGCGAACTGGATGAAAACCACGTTTTCCCCTTTCTGTACTACACAAAATGTCTGGCTTTTGTCGCTGCGAGGCAAAAGAGAAACATCAACTGCACATAAGATACCTGACACGAATGAGAGAGTAATGCCCATTTAGGAGGGCCAATATAGGGCTTGTTCATTTCTAATTAAGCAATATTTACGCATGTGAATAAGGCCAACTGGCGGGATTTGGAAGGATCCGATGAATAATTCATGAGTGGGGAGAGCGTATGCATGGGGAGACAGAAGGAGGTCAGGAATGTGCCGGGCTACGGGGACTGGACTCAACCAATGGACCACCAGATCCAGTCATTCACTTCGACATATGCAGTGAATTAACTCAAGAGATGTCACATTGACACTTGATAGATGACTCTATTGTTTCTAATGGACTAGAATTAAATTAGCTGATTATAGGATGCACGTTTACATCTACTTAAATATGTACATATACATACATGTGCATAAAATATACTTATTGATTGTACACTACCGTTCAAAAGTTTGGTCAAAGGTTTGTCTTTTTTCTTTTGAAAGAAATAATAGTTCTATTCAGCAAGGACACAATAAATTAATCAAAAGTGACAGAAATTTGTTTTTTGTTTTTTTCAAGTAAATGCTGTTATTTTCTCATCAAAGTCTAACAAAAAATGTATCAGGGTTTCCACAAAAATATTAAGCAGCACAACTGTTTTCAACATCGATAATAATAAGAAATGCTTCTTCAGTGCCAAATCAGCATACAGTATTAGAATGATTTCTGAAGGATCATATGACTCTAAAGACTGTAGTAATGGATGCTGAAAATTCGTCTTTGCCTCACAGAAATAAATTACATTTTAAAATATATTTAAAATACAAAACAGTTGTTTTAAATTGTAATAATATTTCACAATATTACAATATTTTTACTGTATTTTTGATGCAGCCTTGGTGAGCAGAAAAGATGTCTTTCAAAAATCTTACCTTATATATGTTTGCATTGGTTATTATCATGCTCTCAATGGCTCTGTTTCAAAGCCTCACTGTCTACTACCCACATAGGTAGCTACCTTTTAAGGCAGCATCTTAAATGACTCCTCATAAGTCACCCATTTCATTTATAAGCAAAGTAGCGCTCCTCTCATGAAGTGCACAGGACACTCGACTGAGAATATCATTGGAGCATATATTGGGGTAAAACTGTCAAATCTTGGGTAGAATGGTCAACTGTTTTATTTGTATACTTTTTGGTATGGAATCCAATGTATTTAAAATTATCACCCAATCTCTAACCATATTTTTTCATTGCGATGCTTTATGAGATGCCATACTGCTTTCGAATTTGGTCGTTTGTAACAGAACTTCTTCATCTTCATTTGTAATGGGTTTGTGTGTAGCCCTCCTGTGGCTCTAGTGTTCATTGTTCCTAGTTTTTTTAGGGCAGTGCCTTGGTACCTCAGTGTACTGACTGCATTACGTGGCTTGTTCTAGGTCATCATCAGCCCGTGGACGTGTGCAGCTTTAGCTCTATGGGTCGCCTGCTGAGGTTCGGCTTCTCTGCCATGTTTGGTTTCGGTGGGCGGACGCTCGCACTGGCAGAGAGACACCGCTGGATGCCACCCAGCCAGCGCCGCGAGTTCGCTCTCATTAAAACACTGGCAAACCTCAAGTAAGCGCTCTTTCTTTCTCAGTTGTGTTGTCAGCTGTAGCTGTCTCTCATCTGGTGGGCTCCAAGGGACTGGCTGGTGCTCTATCAAATCTGGGATTAGTGTCAGAGCAGCCTGGCACAGCACACATGGGCAGCGTCTCTTAGAAAGCACCCTCTTCTTATCATAACACTCCATCTAACGTGTTTGTTCTCTCTCCTCGTGTCCCTCCCCGATCGACCGACGGTGCCTGTGAAGACCTGAAGACTGCGAACTGTCCTTTATAACCAGCAGAGGAGCCGAGGATCAGACAAAGTGTGTTAAAGCACATTTTTAAAGGTTTTCTCGCCCCTCATCCCCATCCAACTTTGAGCGTAATTATTTGAATGCTATTTTAAATAAACCACCCCCTGCTTAATTGGCCATTGGAAAGAAATCAAAATGCTGGAGATGCTGAAGGTCACCCAGCTAATGCTAATAAGGCGGGATGCCCCACACTGTGAGGAGCCCATGCAACTCCATTATTACTCAAATGCAGATAATGGTTGTGCGCTAAAAACATCTCTTTCTTTTACACAGAGCTGAGCGAAATGGAGATGGAGGAGACATTTGTGAGTACAGCTAAATTAGAAGATACTCTGAAGATATTGCACCACTAGATATCTGCTTCATTGGGCAGCAAATGCTCTTGGCTAATAAGTGCCTCCTATGAGAAACAAAGGGGGTGTTTACCGGCCGAATTAAAAGCTGAATTCTCCAATGAGCTGCATTTAAATTTTAGGATAGTTTTTTTGGAGACTGGAGATTTATACACAATACAAATCTGAAAATTATTTAATAAAATAGCCTGTTATGATACATACAAATGACTGTGATCGCTTCTATATGGTCCATATCTAGCAGCGCTGAGAAAAGTAACATGTACCATGTGACAAAAATGCTTTTACATCTTAGTTCAGCAGTGGTCTGGATGATAATGCCTTGCAATTAAATAATAATATAATATATACAGTATGTTAATTATATTATATTACATTATATCATATATTTCTTTTTTAAATTAAGCACCATCATAACTGACCATTTAGAAAAATCATCCAGATGGCCGCTGGACCCCGCTTCCATGCTAGCTGCCATTCTACCATTCTTTCCTATTTCTATGAAAGTTTTCACACTAAAAACATTCAAGTGCACTTAAGAGTATTATATACACATGAAAAACTCTCTCTCCATTCTTTGATAGGTGAGGATGGATCCTGGCAGACCAGACAAGGCCTGTACCTGAATATCAGCATCATGGCTATTCCCTGCCTGTGCTCCATGGCCCCCAGGGGCCTGGCCCCAACCACCAGGTCAGAACTTCCTCCACACCACCTCAATCCCTTCATGGGAAAACTTTTTTGCAGTGATCATGACAATATTCTTCTAAGGTTTTTATACTCACAGAGGCTGCATTTATTTGATTTACAGTAACACAGTCAATTAAAGTATATATTTTTGTAATTTAAAACACGTTCTCTATTTGAATATATTTTACAGTGTAATTTATTCCAGTGATGCAAAGCTGAATTTTCAGCAGTCTTCAGTGTCACATGATTCTTCAGAAATCATTCTAATACTGCTTTGATGCTCAATAAACATTTTCGATCTTTATCAATGTTGAAAACAGTTATGCTGCTTAATTCCTTTTTCAGGATTCTTTGATGAATAGAAAGATTTTAGTAGAAATGTATTGCAAAAATATAATTATTTTCTGTTACTTTTGATCAGTTAAGTCATCAGTTTTTAAAACAAAAATCTTACTGACTTTGGCCTGTTTTTTGTTTAAAAAAAAAAAATCTGTCACCTACACAATTAAATCTACATCTACTAATATGCCTCTGAAAGAAATGCAATGACCTGCACATATGTTTCATTAATAACTTAAAACTCCTTGTAAAAAAGGAAAACAACAGGAAGTGATGTAGTAGCCTATGGCACATTTGCATGCACAAACTCAAGCTGTTAAGAGTCCATCTCATATCTTCCTTATTAGCAAAACAATCTGACTTATACATTAATTTGCCATAGTAAAATCATTTGGAAACTCACCACCAATGATATAGCACTATATCAATGCATCTGTTCTACTGAATCTACACTACAAGCGACCATTGCAACTGAACAAAACCAGATCAGTCCTATGTTCAGTGAAATTGTCTACATGGCAAGTGCCCGAAAGCTTTGTTAAATGTCAATAGAGTAGGAACGATGTAGTTTTTCCCCTGTCGATTCTGTTTAAAACACTGTTTATGTACAGTAGTCAACATTTGAAGTGGATCAAAAAAGTTAATCAAAGTTGTCCTTAGACAAGAACGGGTATTGTTTTGGTTTTAGGACAACTTTGATGAAAGGTTTTGATCCAGCTTAAATGTTGACTACTATATTTATGTTCCAATGATCGGTCTTGGTTCTTGTTCTGGAACCTCATAATGTACAAATTAAGCACTGCCCTCAATCCTTCAGACTGTATGCCTTAAAAGCAAGTAAGCTGATGTGAGTGTAGACTGTAAAACCTTGAGACCAGGTCAGTGTGTCAGCAACATGCAAGGCCAACGGAGTCTCCTGACTGTTTTTTGGCCCGTGTCGTGGGTGTTTGGTGCGTGAAACCGGCTAGAGTAGGCCAACGTAATCCTGAAGATTGGAATCAGTGGTTGGATCAGACTCGTAAGGTCAAAGCCACCTAACTGGACTAATCAGCACATAATTACTCTGATTAAAGGGAGTGGCCGGGTAGACTTAATGACCGAGCACCTGTCCACGAGTGCTCAACAACCCCCTCTCCTTCCTGCCTTTACAGAGCGACACAAGTTAAGCTCAGCTTCTCGTAAGCAGCATCTTTAGGGGGGGACGGAGTTAATGCGGTCACAGAGTTCGCCCTACAAGAAATCATTTCTTTATTTGATATTGTCTTGTTTTCCAGTAAAAAATCTTAATGACCTTTCAACAATATACATTTATTTGAAGGACATTGCATAAAATATGAAGACGTGCTTACTGGAAATATATCTTGAATTATTCTGACCTCATTCGCAAATTGTTTTTTTCTTGTTTTAAGCGGAAATCTGACAATTTAGTGAGTCGTGTGCAGAAAACAAGAAAAAAAAATGGAAAAATCGAATCTGAAAAAATACATAACACATGACTTAAATATAAACAAGTCTTAATATTTTGCCAACTTTTACAACTCAAGCAAACGAGACAAAAATATTGATCGCTGTGCTAGTGTTAATAAATGTGTGAACAGAATTTCTTTATCAAAAAACATTTTCATGAAAAAAACCTCCACATGGTTCATATTTACAAGTCATAATTTTGTTTGGACTCTCAAAATTGTATACTTTTTCACTTCAAGTTCCAAAATATCTTCCATATAGCTATAGATAACAGAACCACTGTATATATATATATAATATATATATATATATATATATATATATATATATATATATATATATATACACACACACACGTATGTATACATACATGTGTGTGTGTGTGTGTGTATACATTATACATATGTATACATATATACAACATATATGCAACATATATACAACACTGGTCAAACCAATTGAATTAACTACATATATAGTATAATAGATTCTATCAGGACCTGTTTATACCTCCCATTTACATTTTCCTCTGACGTGTAGATATGGAACAGTACAAGTGTGAGTTCCACCTATTTATAGACCTGTGGTAAAACAGAAGAGAAACTGGTTTTATTAAATCAACAATTCTCATTTCCATATGAAAAGAGTGTGGGCTTATTATAATGTTGAACTGGTGAGCTTTCTGGTCATAATGCTTGCCACACACTCTCCATACACGACAGGCACAGAAGATTTTATTAACAAATGTACCACCTAAGCACAATAAACACAAATAACCTTTTCTGTCTACCGCAGGTTAAGCAATGGCAGTATGGCACTGATAGCTGTTGGAAACACCTCCAGGTCAGAGTTCATCAAGCACTTGAAGAGATACAGCAGCACAAACAACCAGGTGAGCTCACATGCCTACTGAGGGAACTTACTGAACTCACATCAGCCAGACACGCAGGCAATCCAGCCCACGCAAATGGAGTTAACAACCTCCCCAGCTTAAGCAGAATTAGCATACTGTCAAGTCAAATTAGTCGCTGATTGTCAGCTTCCCACAAAACACTTTTCAGGCTAATACAGATTAGCCCATTTCAGAGCCTGTCTCTTCTTTTTTCTTAAGCAATCCAATCTAGTGCTGTTTGTTAACCCACATTCTATAAATAATCTGTGTAGGTTGCGGCATTGAGGTACTGCTCTTGACTCTCGCGTGAGATGTCATTGTGCCGCAGAGTAAAGTTGTGCCAATTTCAGGGTTTCTGTGCTGTACTAATGGACCTTTATTGCCCATTTTAAAAGAGCTTGTGTTGAGTGTGTTCACCTCATTTACATGTAGAAAGTCAAGTTTATTTGAACTGTGGTTGAATCTCAAAAAGAAAAAAAGTCTCATGCCTCAAGAAATGTATTCAAATGAAGGCTATTTTTAAAACTTGTTGCAAAAAAATAAAATTTTTTATCTAATTAATTACATGATGTTTCGATTAATTAATTTAATTAATCACAAAATACATTTGACTGTGAAAATACCTACAAAAGATTATTTAAAGCTATTTTTGTTTTAAATGAGAAAGTATCAAGTAGACATTACAAATTGTAGCTTTAGTCATTTACATGTAGAAAGTCAAGTTTATTTGAACTGTGGTTGAATCTCAAAAAGAAAAAAAGTCTCATGCCTCAAGAAATGTATTCAAATGAAGGCTATTTTTAAAACTTGTTGCAAAAAAACCTAACAAAAATTCTTATTTCAGTGTGATTTATTTTTATTTTTTTTATATATTATTTAAATTTGAAAATATGTATATATACTGGTAGTATTTTTTAAACAATTTAAACATGAATTAAAATTCATTCTATTAAATTCATGTGTATCAGCATTGAGAATTAAAGTCAAAAAGGGTAAAAACTAAAATATAGAACATAATTTACTTTCAACTTAATATATTATGGTAATTGGAAAGTGGAATTAAAAGAGAAAATGTGCTTAATGCTTAAACATATGCTGTATATTATGTAGAGAAAGATACTTTTTTCTCATGTTTTAACTATTATATATATATATATATATATATATATATATATATATATATATATATATATATATTAGGGTTGTCAGTCGATTAAAATTTTTTATCTAATTAATTACATGATGTTTCGATTAATTAATTTAATTAATCACAAAATACATTTGACTGTGAAAATACCTACAAAAGATTATTTAAAGCTATTTTTGTTTTAAATGAGAAAGTATCAAGTAGACATTACAAATTGTAGCTTTAGAAAGAAATATTTTATTTAATTCAGCATATAAGTTATTACACATAAACATTAAGGCTACAACGGCCTAACATAAACTATGAACATAAAAGAAAATAATTTGAGAAACATCTCAGTATTTTTTGTTCATACAATGAAAGTCATTGATAACCAAAACAGCTTTGTTACCAACAAAATACCTTCTTTTATGTTCCACAAAAGAAAGGTTTGAAACGACATGAGGGTGAGTTTTTTGGGTGAACTATCCCTTTAATGTTTTTATTTTTATAATTTTTTTTTTTTTATGAAATGAAACTCTAAATAAGAAACTAAATCTGCCAGCAGGTGGCGCTAAATGTCTAATGAGTCATTCATTCATTTGAACAGCTGATTCATTCAGGAATGAGGTAAATGGCTCTCTTTATGAATGGGGCTTTGAATCATTGGTTTACACAATTCGTTCAAAACGCGGATTCATTCAGAAACTAAACACCGCTGTGTTGCTCGGAGGCGCAACAGTTCTGCTATGTCTTTAAAGGTAACATGTTCTCTGCAAAATTGAGCAAAAACAGATAATATTGTGTTTAAAATATAACACAATATTAACTTCTTATTTACTGAACTGTTGTATAAAATCACATTTAAACTTGTGATATTCGGGACAAAATCAGAACTCGTCTGATTTTGCTCTCGCTGCTGGTGTGATATCGCTTATCTTATGATATATAAATATGAGACAAAAACTCATACAGGGGCATTTTGCACCAATATCTTGAATTTTAGGGCATAACTGCATATGTGGAGTTGTTGCCCTGCATCATATTTGTGTCAACCATATGAAATATAAAGTACAGGTTTGGGGGCGGGGCCAGTGCATTAACTGCTTTAATCGCGTTATTTATATATATGAAAAAGCAAAAAATGCAATACAATAATAAAAATCTAACAAAAAAAATCTTATAGAAAGGGTTAATAATAGGGTTTTCAAAAATCTGAATTTAGGGGGAATTTTGTTTAATTGGCATGGAATTCAATTTTATAATGTAACTGGTCAAACTTCTCCTCCTTCAACTTCCGCTCAAAGAATCCAAGCTAATAAAAGCAAGAGATTGCATGACTGTCAATGAGCAAAAGTATGTTTCAATTTCAAACCCAACAAGTTCGATTTTTTACTCTTTGCTGATTTATTTGCTTAGTAGGGTACTAATTGCTAGATTGACTGAATGACTGTTCAGTCTTAATTAACAACCGTATGTAATCGTACTGGATTAGAACTGGTTCACGTTTACCAGAAACCAATCAGACAAGTTTCTTAACAACATCCTTGCATTGAAAAACAGCTAGACATTCATTGAGCTCATGTAGTATGTTCCATTCTCTAAAGTGCATTGGCTTCATCCTGCTGACAGAAAATGCTGATTCTTTTGACAGTCTTTGTACTCTTCATCGCTTTGTGATGAATGTTCTCAGCCATTACGGTCATTAGTCCAGCTCTTGGTGACAGCAGAGCAGTAGTCCTTCATGGCTTGTCCCTTCCATTCTGATTGGTTTTGTTTGTGGTGTAAATCCCATATTATGACACACTCTCTTTCTTAGGTACATAGTCCCAACTGTCCTGGTCAAACTTCTCCTCCTTCAACTTCCGCTCAAAGAATCCAAGCTAATAAAAGCAAGAGATTGCATGATTGTCAATGAGCAAAAGTATGTCTCAATTTCAAACCCAACAAGTTCGATTTTTTACTCTTTGCTGATTTATTTGCTTAGTAGGGTACTAATTGCTAGATTGACTGAATGACTGTTCAGTCTTAATTAACAACTGTATGTAATCGTACTGGATTAGAACTGGTTCACGTTTACCAGAAACCAATCAGACAAGTTTCTTAACTACGTTCTTGCATTGAAAAACAGCTAGATGGAGCATAGTGGAATTAAAGAGATTTCAAAGTGTTTTTAAAAACAAAACTTGATACTTAAAATTGCAACACTCATGGCACAAAACATTGAAAAACATCAGCAGAATGCATCAATGTGCACATATGTTACCCTGGACCACAAAACCAGTCTTAAGTCGCTGGGGTATATTTGTAGCAATAGCCAAAAATACATTGTATGGGTCAAAATTATAGATTTTTCTTTTATGCCAAAAATCATTAGGATATTAAGTAAAGATCATGTTCCATGAAGATATTTTGTAAATGTCCTACTTTAAATATATTAAAACTTAATTTTTGATTAGTAATATGCATTGCTAAGAACTTCATTTGGACAACTTTAAAGGCGATTTTTTACAATATTTTGATTTTTTTGCACCCTCAGATTCCAGATTTACAAATAGTTGTATCTCGACCAAATATTGTCCTATCCCAACAAGCAGCTTTGAGAAGGTGTATAAATCTCAATTTCGAAAAGTTGACACTTATGACTGGTTTTGTGGTCCAGGGTCACATATTAGAAATTTGACTGTATTTTTTTATTTTCATTATTGAAGATAGTTTTTTTTTTTTTTTAAGAAAAGCACTGCTTTGATGGGTTATACATCCTTTACCACAAACGTTTACCATGGTAAAGCCCAGCATGCTGTTAAACCCTCTATGATATGGTGTATCTCTAAAAGAAAAGTAATATCTTCAGATATTTCAGGTCTATCTTTAGTGAAATTTGTGAACAATTCCTATGTTCTTAATTCCTATGAGTCTTCCTAAGAGTCTTACATTAGAATATGACATTAAGTCACACTTGAGAAAGTGTCATATGATACATACCTTCCAGAGGGCAAGGACAAGCAGTGCTAAAATCATCAGTCCAACGATCAGACTGGATACTATTAGAAAAATCTGCACAGCCATCACAGGCTTATTGCTGTACAGAGCCTCCAAGGACACCTGAAACATTTCAAACATTCAAGTTTAACAAAAAGCTGTAAATGCAGCATCTCATCATGTATTTCTGGCATTAGAGATCCAGACTACTTACTCTAGCAGAAATGTCGTCCTGAAGTAGGATGGTGTCGGCATCCTTCACTGGTGAAATAAGGTCAATCATGCCACGTATCATCATGACAGCGTGTCTGCCCTGTAGGAAATATACATGTATAAGGTCATGTGTTTTAGTTGTACAATTCAGGTAATCCATCTGTCAAACAATGGTTGATTGGGCCATATTATTCTTCTCATCTCTAACAAATACTCACTGGACTCATCTGGAGAACCCTGGGGTTGAGCTCCACTTCCATAGTGATGGTAACTTCCTTTCCAACCTCCAAGTCACCGAAGTGACACTCCACCATCCTACAGGTCTTATCTTCAGGACCACAGAACTGCAGAACAACAGAGTGTGAGACCTTCTCATAGCATTTACACTAAACACACCAGAACTCAATACTATGACTATTATTTACCATGATGCGCTTGCTTTTTGGGGAGAAAAAGAATACAAGTTCTTGAATAAAGGAAGCTTCTGGGATGTCACAGTCATCAATAATCTGTACTGAATTGTTCCTCTGGAAGCAATGCCCAAGAGTTGTCTGCAAGACAAAAAACAACTTAAGTTTAAGTAAAGAAATAGATGTATAGCATAGCTAAGTTATAGGCACTGTTAGGAATAGTTTGTGTTTCTTCTGTGAATAAAGCCAGAGATGTCTGGCAGAATGTCTGAACTTCTGATGTCTGATTGTGATTTATAATACCAAGCTCCGAAAGAATAAAACACCATAAATTATTGAATTAATAATAAAGTGCTATATCTGACGCCTTCTTAAGTTGAACAACGGCTCTGTGTGAGGAACAGATTAAATTTAATCCAGTGTCTACTAATAATCTTCCAGATTTAGAGTTTTTCAAACTTGACATGTCATGATTTGTCACATGACATACAATGACCAATTCAATTTGGCTTCAAAGATGTCAAATATGCCATGAAATACTAAAGCGGACTCATTTTTAACTGATACTTTTGTTCTTTTTTTATCTTATACTGTAAATCGCCATCCAGTTTCATTCTAATTTCATTGTTTCAAAAGCAGAAGCACAAGTTTGTGTTTCTTCTGTGAATAAAGCCAGAGATGTCTGGCAGAATGTCTGAACTTCTGATGTCTGATTGTGATTTATAATACCAAGCTCCGAAAGAATAAAACACCATAAATTATTGAATTAATAATAAAGTGCTATATCTGACGCCTTCTTAAGTTGAACAACGGCTCTGTGTGAGGAACAGATGAAATTTAATCCAGTGTCTACTAATAATCTTCCAGATTTAGAGTTTTTCAAACTTGACATGTCATGATTTGTCACATGACATACAATGACCAATTCAATTTGGCTTCAAAGATGTCAAATATGCCATGAAATACTAAAGCGGACTCATTTTTAACTGATACTTTTGTTATTTTTTTTATCTTATACTGTAAATCGCCATCCAGTTTCATTCTAATTTCATTGTTTCAAAAGCAGAAGCACAAAAATTCTGACTAACATCTCATTTTGTGAAAGAAATGTGCATGGAATGACATGACAGTGAATATAAATAAAGACTATTTAAATTTTGGGGTGAACTATTCCTTTAAAATACTGTATATAATATACAGTACACCAGTTAAGATTTACTGTAAGGTAAGGTTTTTTTTATATCATTATTATTATTTTTAACAAGTCTCTTATGCTCAACAAGGCTGTGTTTAATTGATCAAAGATACAGTGAAAACAGTAATATTGTGAAGTATTACAATTTAAAATATGTTTCTCTTTTAATATACTTTAAAATGTCATTTATTCCTGTGATGGCAAAGCTAAAATTTCCCGTCTTTAGTGTCACATGATCTTGATTTGGTTCTCAATAATCATTTATTATTATTATCAATGTTGAAAATATGCTTAATATTTCAGTATTCAGTATTATTTGATGAATAGAAAGTTAATTTGTAACAATATAAATGTCTTTACTGTTACATCTGATCATTTTAAGGCATCCTTGCTGAATAAAAGCATTCATTTCATTCATTCCGAAACAATCTTACTGACCCCAAATGCATAATTGCATATGTAAATCTCACCTGTAAATCGGTGATCCTGATTAGCTGGTATTTGTATGGCACCAGCATCAGAGGCAAGCCGATCTTTACTCTCGCATCAAGAGCTTTACTAGGACCTATATTCATCACCTGCAAGTTAATAGACATTGTAACGAAACAAATCATGTCAAATGATTCATTAGTGCTTAATGACACTGTTGTCTGTCTGATGAGCGCTAAAATACCTTGTACGTATAATTGAACTTCTCAGGATAGCAGTCGACCGGCACAGACTCTTGTTTTCCAATCAGAAATGAAGTCGGAGAGACAAATCTGCAGAGGAGAGACGAAGAGAAGCGTCCTGTAATTTGACCTGTTATTCTTCCGACATCTACGGATTCACATTCATTAGCAAAACAGACAACTTACCCGTGAACATTGAGGTCAACTGCATATCTCAAGGGCAACGTAAGAACAGCCACATTGTCGTGCTGAAGATCTGTGTTCTCAAAGTTCTCGCTGAAAAACACACATTAGATTGGTTTACATTCACTATTAAGGAAACATACAATAGCAACAAAAATGAACTAGCCAATGGTTCTTAAAAAGGTGAAGTTAGCTCTGAGGAAAGCTTTAGCAGCATTTATTTGCAGACGCCACTTAGTTTGATAGTACCCTATCTAATGAAATGTCGTGTTAAGTGCAGTTTAAGTGTCCAAATGCTTTTTGGGGTCATTGTATATGTAATATACTAATATATACGAATATACCCTGAGATTTCATTATAGGAACTCATTACATAGGCCATGTAGGCATCCATCTTTAGATCCACAGTTCCCTTTCATGGGAACTTCGAACTGCGTCCTCTAGGTTTCCCCATAGCGACCCCTAGAGGACGCAGTTCGAAGTTCCCATGAAAGGGAACGTCTCAGGTTACTTATGTAACCATGGTTCCCTGAGTAGGGAACGAGACACTGCGTCCTCTAGGGTTCCCCATAGCGACCCCTAGAGGACGCAGTGTCTCGTTCCCTACTTAGGGAACCATGGTTACATAAGTAACCTGAGACGTTTTTCTTGTTTCTAACAGTAACACTGAAAGCACATAAACCTTTGAGCATGCTGTTTAATGCCTTTGTTTGTCTTTTGCATTCTGATGTCAATTTACAACCATAAGCAGTGGCGAGATGCTCTCCACAAACGATTACATTTGGCTCAGATGTCTTTGTATTTGTGTAAACCATCCTTTGTAATGAATTCCTCAGATCTAGGGCTGAGATCTCTAGATCTCTCACCTCGTCGCATTGATCTTAATGCTAAGGTTTCCAGCACTGCTGTTCTGCATCACATCCAATAAAAAGGTGATGTTGATCTGGAAGAAAGCAAAGAGATGTTTATATTCCAACAAGCAAACTCATTTATCTTCCATTGCTAAAGACATTTACCTTTGAGATAGGGGGGATGTATAAATTCCCAACATTGCAGTCCAGTCCAATGGCCACTTTATTCTCCTCTGCGATTTCACAGCTGATGTATTTATCTTCCTGAAATAATATCACAAATATTGAAGCACATCAAAGGCAAGATCGAAGTGAAGTACATCAGAAATACATAGAGCTAAAAGCTGGCTGTCAGATATCGAAGACAAAACCGACCAAAATTTAATTACCTCCAGCACTTTGATGAAATGCAGGTTGCTGGGAAACCTCAGGTAAAGTTTGGGTAGAAAAGCATCATCTCCGATGTTGACCAGTGTGGTGTTTAACATGATGCTTTTTCCATTACCCAGGGCGAAGTATGGCATGTTCCTGTAGGACCTGTTGGGAAAACAAGTTAGTTAAAACATAAATTAAGCATTTTTATTCATTTTATAAATTAAGCATTTTAATCCATTGTTTAGTTTGTATAATTCTTAACTCGGAGTGAAGAAAAGATTCGGAAAAAAATACAAATAATAATAATAGCTATTATTATTATTATTATGGTTTAAGCATAATTTTAACCACAGAAAATCTTCAGTATAAAATACCATTCAATGCCTTTTTCTTTTTTGGCACATCTTTTTACAGCTTTTCAATATTTGAAAAATAGTACACAACATTTTAAAAGCTGCCAAATGAAGGAAGAACAATATCAGTTAGAAAAACAAAACACAAGAAAATACATTTTTGGTAATAAAAAAATGTGTAACTTAAAATTAGCATTTTGAAAGATTTATAATTGAATAATAATTGTGTCAAATGATGTGCAAGACAATTAAATACTTTAATATCAAAATTAAATATATTGTGGTAACTGGTGCGAAAGCAAAAATTCAGTGTCACTGCAACTGTAATCAGTTCCTTGCAATCAACTCCTCTTTATTTCATCCCATTTTAACATTTTAATTTAAAATAAAAATATACACATTTAAAATATTTGTTTTGATCAATTAACTAAACTGACATAATTATGATCATTGTTTTTAAAATATATATATATATATTTTATAGTTTATGTTTATTTTAGAATATTTGAAAGACTCATTATTGTAGAATTTAATGGGAAAATGTGGTAGTGTTTTTCCTGCATGTGTTTGAGTAGCTTGTGCAGTGAGGGCTCAAGCCTGATGTTTCTCATCTAAAGGCACCAGGTGCATCTGGGAGAGTGACAAGACACTCTCTTTCTCTCATACACACACACACACACAAGGGCCTTATAAATAATCAGATCATGTATTATCACCAATGGGTGAGGGGGGTCCATAAATTAGTTTGCATACGGCTGCAAACATGATCCAAAATGCTAATGTGCACACTCACGCTTTCGCCTCAATTGGGTGAGTCCAAGAAATGTGATGCATAAAATGCATCGATATAAAGCTTTGGCTACTATGCATACTGGTTTAATAGGTGTATTCATGAGGAGAGCAGATAATCTCAAAAGCCCTCCTGTTAGTCACAAACAACACCAGCACAACTAGAATATTTAGAGAGGTCTGTACTTGTTCACCGTGCACTTGAAAAGAAAAACAACTCACGAAAACTATAATTATTAAAGCTTAAGCTGTTGTATAACAGTGTACAACATGTAATACAGTTGAGTAAATATCCTCATTTTATCCCACAATCAAAAGAAAGATTTTTTTTTTCTTATAGAAAATGAGGAGTATTTTTTTTAGCTTATTTTAGGATTAAGATGTTTTGTATTGTGACATTATAAATGTCTTTTTTTCTTTATGACAATTAAACATGTTCCTCCAAAATTACCGTAATGCAAAAAATGTGATTAGCTTTACTGAAATACAGTAATGAAAACCATCATGTCTGAATGCAATTATTTTTTTATGAAATCAGCACAAATTCAATTTAGTACGTAAACGACTTCTAAGATATGTACAATTGTAATTTTTGTATCATTTAAATCATATTAAACAACAAACAGAAATTGCTCTGCAATTTCCAAGAGATTCACCCAGTTTGCATAGGATATATGTTGATGACTTACTGTGGTAAAACCAGATTAGCAGAAACCTGCAGGTTGGTCGAACAGTTTTCCCAGGAACAATGTCTGGCAAAGATGGTCTACAGAAACATAGAAAGATTTCAAATCAAGACACATTGTGACCTACAATGGGGTTAATAAAGTGGCCACAGAAATTAACCACAATAACAAAACAAAGATTGAGAAATAAAGAAAAACAGACATTGTTTTTCACAACGTTGCCATATTCATCCTTCTGCTGTAGAATGGGTTTGAGGGAAGGCAAGCCCCCGGAGTCTCTCTGTAGCACGCGGTGCTCTCCAAGTTTATATTTCACCTCAAAATGGATGGGTGAGAAGATATCCCGGATGTCTTTCTGCACACATGAGAAATAAAACATATAAACAAGATATTCTGAAGAAAATTACTGGTGTTTGTCTATCCAAATTTCACCACCACCAATGCAAGGTGTTCCGATACACTCTTAAAAATAAAGATGCTTAAAAGGTTCTTCAAGCGATGCCATAGAAGAACCATTTTTGGTTCCACAAAGAAGCATTCAGTCAAAGGTTCTTTAAAGAACCATCTCTTTCTTAGCTTTTTATAATCTGAAGAACCTTCTTTTGCCACAAAGGACCTTTTGTGAAACAGAAAGGTTCTTCAGATGTTAAAGGTTCTTTATGGAACCATTTAGACAAAAAAAAGGTTATTTTATGGCATCGTGAAGCACCTTTATTTTTAAGAGTGTAAAAGGTGCAAAGGTGCTAAGGTGTTCAGAGTTTTTTGTTTTCCTTAGGAAATTAATACTTTTATTCAGCAAGGATACATTAAATTGGTCAAAAGTGACAGTAAAGACATTTATAATGTTACAAATTATTTCTATTTCTAATAATCATTTCCAAACGATTTGCCATTTGGTCAAAACCCCCCAAGTTTCAATATCAAACTGGTTGGGATCAGGGCTCAAGCTTTGGTTATTTCACATGATTCAATTAGTTTCTACTGGTACACTAGTACTGTTTGAAAATCTGGAATCAGTACAATTTATTCATTTATCTTTAGAAGGAAATTAATACTTTTAATTCAGTAATACAGTAAATAAATGTTTGGCATTACAAAATATTTATTTTTAAAATAAATGCTGTTCTTTTTAACTTTCTACTCAAAGAAATCAGAACAAAAGTACATCATGGTATCCAAGCACAAATGTTTCCAACATTGATAATAATTAACCAGCATATTAATATTATTTCTGAAGGATCATGTAACACAGAAGACTGGAGCCATGATGCTGAAAATTCAGTGTTGATTTACAGGAATAAATTACATTTTAAAATATAACAAAATAGATAACAGATATTTTATATTATAGTCATATTTCACAATATTACTGTTTTTACTGTATTTTTGAACAAACAAATGCAGCCTTGGTGAACATAAGAGACTTTGTTTAAAAACATCTAAAAATCTTACCGACCCCAAACTTATGTTTGACTACACTTTTGTATTCCTCCCATCTTAATTTTCCTAACCTAAGTGCAGATAATTAATGCAGGTAAGGTTTGCTCTGATGGTCGTCTCTAATTGGGGGCTCAGTGGTTGGGAGTTGTCCTGTGGGGTCTCTCGGGCCTGTATTTAGCTGCAGGAGAGATGTGTGACCGGGGTTTTGGAAAGCTCTTCCATGGCCAGTGTAAATGAGCTGGACTCCAGCCACAACAACAACCTCAGAGAGACGCTAATTTCTGCAGCAAAGGCTAAACTCAAAGTCAACGCTGAGAACTTGTATCCTTTGCTCAGGATGTGGTCGCTGAATTCAGTCGTCCAAATGTGCGCACACGCATCTAGTGTGTCACTGGCATTTCTAATCTCATGGGTACAACCCAGACAGACAAGAGATATTTCAAGGAACCTTTAAAATGATTTTATGAGAAAACTGCTGTGGTTCACCAGGGGTGGTGACAATGGCTTTATAGGATCACGAGAAAGACTGGGTGTTTCTTTCACACCTTCATTCAGCTCAAAGTTTATTTCACTCAAAACAAGAACTGAAAATATTGCTTGCCTGTTCAAAAATTCAGGCCTGGTACATTTGCAACTCAAAACAACAGCACTTTAATAAGGGTTCCTTTAGTTTTGGGTGGAGAGGTGTTAAATGCAACTCATTCCTTTGTTTGTAAAACAGGTGAAAAGATAGTGCACTGCGGTATTTAAAACCAGAAATGTGAAGCACTTTAATTAATTGTATAATAAATAAACACTACAGTAAAGCTGTCTAAACCACCATTTTGAGGTTGGACTCCTTTTCAAGGTGGAACTTCACGTGAAACAGAAAGGTTCTTCAGATGTTAAAGGTTCTTTATGGAACCATTTAGACAAAAAAAAGGTTATTTTATGGCATCGTGAAGCACCTTTATTTTTAAGAGTGTAAAAGGTGCAAAGGTGCTAAGGTGTTCAGAGTTTTTTGTTTTCCTTTTTTTGGTTCCACAAAGAAGCATTCAGTCAAAGGTTCTTTAAAGAACCATCTCTTTCTTAGCTTTTTATAATCTGAAGAACCTTCTTTTGCCACAAAGGACCTTTTGTGAAACAGAAAGGTTCTTCAGATGTTAAAGGTTCTTTATGGAACCATTTAGACAAGAAAAAGGTTATTTTATGGCATCGTGAAGCACCTTTATTTTTAAGAGTGTATGGTTGCTAAGGTGTTCAGAGTTTTTTGTTTTCCTTAGGAAATTAATACTTTTATTCAGCAAGGATACATTAAATTGGTCAAAAGTGACAGTAAAGACATTTATAATGTTACAAATTATTTCTATTTCTAATAATCATTTCCAAACGATTTGCCATTTGGTCAAAACCCCCCAAGTTTCAATATCAAACTGGTTGGGATCAGGGCTCAAGCTTTGGTTATTTCACATGATTCAATTAGTTTCTACTGGTACACTAGTACTGTTTGAAAATCTGGAATCAGTACAATTTATTCATTTATCTTTAGAAGGAAATTAATACTTTTAATTCAGTAATACAGTAAATAAATGTTTGGCATTACAAAATATTTATTTTTAAAATAAATGCTGTTCTTTTTAACTTTCTACTCAAAGAAATCAGAACAAAAGTACATCATGGTATCCAAGCACAAATGTTTCCAACATTGATAATAATTAACCAGCATATTAATATTATTTCTGAAGGATCATGTAACACAGAAGACTGGAGCCATGATGCTGAAAATTCAGCGTTGATTTACAGGAATAAATTACATTTTAAAATATAACAAAATAGATAACAGATATTTTATATTATAGTCATATTTCACAATATTACTGTTTTTACTGTATTTTTGAACAAACAAATGCAGCCTTGGTGAACATAAGAGACTGTTTAAAAACATCTAAAAATCTTACCGACCTCAAACTTATGTTTGACTACACTTTTGTATTCCTCCCATCCCTTTCCTAACCTAAGTGCAGATAATTAATGCAGGTAAGGTTTGCTCTGATGGTCGTCTCTAATTGGGGGCTCAGTGGTTGGGAGTTGTCCTGTGGGGTCTCTCGGGCCTGTATTTAGCTGCAGGAGAGATGTGTGACCGGGGTTTTGGAAAGCTCTTCCATGGCCAGTGTAAATGAGCTGGACTCCAGCCACAACAACAACCTCAGAGAGACGCTAATTTCTGCAGCAAAGGCTAAACTCAAAGTCAACGCTGAGAACTTGTATCCTTTGCTCAGGATGTGGTCGCTGAATTCAGTCGTCCAAATGTGCGCACACGCATCTAGTGTGTCACTGGCATGTCTAATCTCATGGGTACAACCCAGACAGACAAGAGATATTTCAAGGAACCTTTAAAATGATTTTATGAGAAAACTGCTGTGGTTCACCAGGGGTGGTGACAATGGCTTTATAGTAATATTATTTCTGAAGGATCATGTAACACAGAAGACTGGAGCCATGATGCTGAAAATTCAGCGTTGATTTACAGGAATAAATTACATTTTAAAATATAACAAAATAGATAACAGATATTTTATATTATAGTCATATTTCACAATATTACTGTTTTTACTGTATTTTTGAACAAACAAATGCAGCCTTGGTGAACATAAGAGACTGTTTAAAAACATCTAAAAATCTTACCGACCTCAAACTTATGTTTGACTACACTTTTGTATTCCTCCCATCCCTTTCCTAACCTAAGTGCAGATAATTAATGCAGGTAAGGTTTGCTCTGATGGTCGTCTCTAATTGGGGGCTCAGTGGTTGGGAGTTGTCCTGTGGGGTCTCTCGGGCCTGTATTTAGCTGCAGGAGAGATGTGTGACCGGGGTTTTGGAAAGCTCTTCCATGGCCAGTGTAAATGAGCTGGACCCCAGCCACAACAACAACCTCAGAGAGACGCTAATTTCTGCAGCAAAGGCTAAACTCAAAGTCAACGCTGAGAACTTGTATCCTTTGCTCAGGATGTGGTCGCTGAATTCAGTCGTCCAAATGTGCGCACACGCATCTAGTGTGTCACTGGCATTTCTAATCTCATGGGTACAACCCAGACAGACAAGAGATATTTCAAGGAACCTTTAAAATGATTTTATGAGAAAACTGCTGTGGTTCACCAGGGGTGGTGACAATGGCTTTATATGATCACGAGAAAGACTGGGTGTTTCTTTCACACCTTCATTCAGCTCAAAGTTTATTTCACTCAAAACAAGAACTGAAAATATTGCTTGCCTGTTCAAAAATTCAGGCCTGGTACATTTGCAACTCAAAACAACAGCACTTTAATAAGGGTTCCTCTCAAAGAAATCAGAACAAAAGTACATCATGGTATCCAAGCACAAATGTTTCCAACATTGATAATAATTAACCAGCATATTAATATTATTTCTGAAGGATCATGTAACACAGAAGACTGGAGCCATGATGCTGAAAATTCAGCGTTGATTTACAGGAATAAATTACATTTTAAAATATAACAAAATAGATAACAGATATTTTATATTATAGTCATATTTCACAATATTACTGTTTTTACTGTATTTTTGAACAAACAAATGCAGCCTTGGTGAACATAAGAGACTTTGTTTAAAAACATCTAAAAATCTTACCGACCCCAAACTTATGTTTGACTACACTTTTGTATTCCTCCCATCTTAATTTTCCTAACCTAAGTGCAGATAATTAATGCAGGTAAGGTTTGCTCTGATGGTCGTCTCTAATTGGGGGCTCAGTGGTTGGGAGTTGTCCTGTGGGGTCTCTCGGGCCTTTATTTAGCTGCAGGGGAGATGTGTGACCGGGCTTTTTGGAAGGCTCTTCCATGGCCAGAGTAAATGAGCTGGACTCCAGCCACAACAACAACCTCAGAGAGACGCTAATTTCTGCAGCAAAGGCTAAACTCAAAGTCAACGCTGAGAACTTGTATCCTTTGCTCAGGATGTGGTCGCTGAATTCAGTCGTCCAAATGTGCGCACACGCATCTAGTGTGTCACTGGCATGTCTAATCTCATGGGTACAACCCAGACAGACAAGAGATATTTCAAGGAACCTTTAAAATGATTTTATGAGAAAACTGCTGTGGTTCACCAGGGGTGGTGACAATGGCTTTATAGGATCACGAGAAAGACTGGGTGTTTCTTTCACACCTTCATTCAGCTCAAAGTTTATTTCACTCAAAACAAGAACTGAAAATATTGCTTGCCTGTTCAAAAATTCAGGCCTGGTACATTTGCAACTCAAAACAACAGCACTTTAATAAGGGTTCCTTTAGTTTTGGGTGGAGAGGTGTTAAATGCAACTCATTCCTTTGTTTGTAAAACAGGTGAAAAGATAGTGCACTGCGGTATTTAAAACCAGAAATGTGAAGCACTTTAATTAATTGTATAATAAATAAACACTACAGTAAAGCTGTCTAAACCACCATTTTGAGGTTGGACTCCTTTTCAAGGTGGAACTTCACTTACAGTACATCTCCATGTATGCATTTGGCAGACATATTTTATCAAAAGCAACTTACAGTGCATTCAAGGTACAGAATACATTTGGTCAAACCCATAGCTACAGGAGCTACAATGTGGATAAAAGTGCCTGCAAAATGCATAAAATGTAAATGTAGATGTCAAATTTCTTCCTGGTACTCTCACTTCAATATCAAACTGGCACTTTTAAAACTTTTAAAAAAGAAAAATAATTTACTGGCCTTTCATCGCAATTCAATTATTCTAAATGTTTGTTTTTACAAATTGAAGGACAAGACTGAATAGTTTGCTGTGCAAAAATTCAGGCCTGGTACATTTGCAACTCAAAACAACAGCACTTTAATAAGGGTTCCTTTAGTTTTGGGTGGAGAGGTGTTAAATGCAACTCATTCCTTTGTTTGTAAAACAGGTGAAAAGATGCGTTCTGCGGTATTTAAAACCAGAAATGTGAAGCACTTTAATTAATTGTATAATAAATAAACACTACAGTAAAGCTGTCTAAACCACCATTTTGAGGTTGGACTCCTTTTCAAGGTGGAACTTCACTTACAGTACATCTCCATGTATGCATTTGGCAGACATATTTTATCAAAAGCAACTTACAGTGCATTCAAGGTACAGAATACATTTGGTCAAACCCATAGCTACAGGAGCTACAATGTGGATAAAAGTGCCTGCAAAATGCATAAAATGTAAATGTAGATGTCAAATTTATTCCTGGTACTCTCACTTCAATATCAAACTGGCACTTTTAAAACTTTTAAAAAAGAAAAATAATTTACTGGCCTTTCATCGCAATTCAATTATTCTAAATGTTTGTTTTTACAAATTGAAGGACAAGACTGAATAGTTTGCTGTGTTAATCAACAGCATAAAGCTTCAGTATTCAAAGCATAACAATCTTTTACAGACCCCAAGACATTTATACTAAAGTTTTAAGCTCATCTATATGTCATGTGATAGTAAAAGTGGACAATTTACTTTATACAAAGTATTCAACTGATGATTCATCTTATACTAACAGAAATACACTACTGTTCAAATGTTTGGGGTCAGTAAGCTTTTTTTAAAATTAAGAAATCAATCGTTTTATTTAGCAACAATGCATTAAACTGAACAAAAGTGACAGTAAAGACATAAGAGTTACAAAAGATTTATATTTCAAATAAACTGGCTTCTTTTGAACTTTCTATTCATCGAAGAGCCTTGGAAAACTCTATTGCAGTTTCCACAAAAATTATTAAGCAGCACAACGGTTTTCAACATTAATGATTTCTGAAGGATTATGTGACTGATGCTAAAAATTCAGCTTTGCCAATACATAAAATAAATCATATTTTAAAATATATTAAAATAGAAAACATTTATTTTAAATTGTAATAATATCTCACAATATTACTGCTTTTGCTGTATTTGTGATAAAAAAAATGCAGTCTTGGTTAGCATAAGAGACTTTTTCCAAAACATTTACAACATTTTCAACAACATCTCGCTCACCAAAATCCCCTGCATATTAGCAAGTAGCAACTGACATAAGACTACTGGCTATTTTTAAAAATGAACACACCATTCGATACGCCTATCTCAAACTTCTTGTTTCAATAATAAATAGTAAATATGACAAAATATAACAGGGCTCGACAAGCTCCTCCGTCACTTTTCTAAAACACACCACAAGGTGTCCGCCACATCTGCTTTGTGTTACTCCATTTGTTACTCTTATTGCTCATTAATTAAGCTCTAAAACTACCTCAAATATAGCAGCCTCCTTGTTTGGGTTTGCTTCTGACAGATAACCGCACTTGTTTATGGCCACCATCTCCATCAGCGGCCATTAATAACAGCGAAGCTATACACAGGCCTCCATTAATTAATGTGTAAAACATGAGCTGGATCAGATGGCCCTGATTACAGGAAGAGACAGAGGGAGAGGCATCCAGAGGGGCCCACCAAACACCTGGAACATTCACTCATACTCACAGAGCCATCTATCCGCACTTTATCAACTGTCTAGGTCTCTTTCTGTACCGTCCTCCCCCGTGCCATCCTGCCTGGCTCTTCCTCTTGTTCGCCAGCAGCGACAACCTGCTATCGACTCCAACAAACTATCTGTAAGAGCCTCTTTATCATCCCGGCCTCCTGCGTGGAGTCACGCTGTAAACCTAGAGAGAGAGTCACACCACCTGGGCCTCTCAGAGAGGCTGATTAACTAGAGCATGAAGAGCAGAGTGACGTGGGTGAATCCCAGCTGTGAAGTCCACTGGCTTCAGTCTGAGTCAGCACATTCGTATAGAGTATTTAAGTTTAGGACACACAACAGGGGCCGATCTAAGAAAACATCAAGGCACATCTGGCTTTTTAGATGAATTTAATCCATACACTGAAATGAAAAGGGATTTTCGTTCCTGTACTCAATCTATATGACCAAATATCAGTTAAATGTTTCTCACTAGTGAACGGTAAAAGAACGGCAACATAATAAATGCTATAAATTAACTATAAGAAACAAAATGTTGACCCACAGTGATGCAAATAACAAAGCAAAAATCAAAGACATCAAAGACAAAAATCTACGGAGCCCCAGACATGGAATGCAGGGAAAAAAAATTGTAGGCTAAATCGTGTGCACGATTTACTATTTCGTTCACTCGATATATAAATTGTGGGCACGATTTACTAATTCGTTCCCTCGATTTGCTAAATTGTGCACACGATTTATAAATCGAGAGAACAAATTAGTAAATTGTGCGCACGATTTAGCAAATCGAGCGAACGATTTAGCAAATCGAGGGAACGAAATAGCAAATTGAGGGAACGAAATAGTAATCGTGTGCACGTTTTAGTACATCGAGGGAACAAATTAGTAAATCATGGGAATTAAATAGTAATCGTGTGCACGTTTTAGTACATCGAGGGAACAAATTAGTAAATCGAGGGAACGAAATAGTAATCAATTGCACTTTTTAGTACATCGAGGGAACGAATTAGTAAATCGTGCGCACGATTTATTTATTTTTTCTTGCATGTCATGTGCGGGGCTCCGTAAAAATCTAAATCTAAGACATACAATCAACTGAGGAAAACATGTACTACAACTTGCACATGTTCGAATCACTTTAACCTTCAGAACTCTTTATCTAATAAGATCCTTATTGTTTATATATTCTGTATGAACATGCAATATGCAAGTATTATCAACCAAACGTATAAACCATCCTTGTTAACTAAAATATAGCTGAAAAGACTCAGAATAAGTACTAAAATGACTAAAACTAAAATAAAAAATAAATTAAAGCTAAATGGAAACATGAAAAGTTCATAAAAAAAAAACACATTAAACAACAAAATTTCTAAATCCAAAAAACAGTGTCAGGGTAACTTCTAAAACAAACAAAATTATGAATCTGCCTTTGTCATAAAATGTACAGTAATTTAAGACTAAAGTCATAATGTGACAGTGTTAAAAGTAACATCCCCCAACACAGGTAATGAACATAAACAGTCTCGCACCTTCATGAAGGCCTGATGGGTGGCACAAGTGAGCTGCTCATGCTTGGCCTTCACTCTGCCCGCTGTAACATTGGATGTGCCATTTCCACTGAAATAAAATCGGGAAGGGAAGCCATCTTTGTGGTGAACATCAGCTGTTATGTTGTACTTCAGCTCTGCACAGGAAGAATATGGCATTCAGAGACAAATTTACAGTTAGGCAAAGACAACCTGTTAAAGACAACCTGTTTCTCTTTAATGAAGGCTAATCATTACAAATAAATGAAAAAGTGGCATCAGGGCAAAAACAGTACAACTAATAATATAAAATTGATAGATTTGATTATGAATTCATATTGGATGAGCTACAGTCAAAGCCGTTATGATGTTCCTGTGTGAGTGTAAACAACGAAACTAAACCGTTCTACTCTTGTTTGGGACATCCCGCTCTTTATTATCTCACTTTTAAATAACACGTGCAGCAGTCCTGTAAACTGACAGATATACTGTATCAATCTACTGTTGTATAAACGCTATAGCAAAATCTCTGGGTGGCACATTTCTGCTGTCGCTACTTCATATCAGTTTCAAGATTGTGAGTATTTGTCATCAAGCACGGCTCTGTTGTTTACTATTTGGACAGGGAGCGTCGATCTATCAGTGAAGGCAGGCCTTGACACACACCCTGAGCCCTCTAACCGCCACAACAAAAGAGGGGATGTGGGGCCGAGATAAAGAGCTGGGAAAGATGTCTGAAACACAGCGAACTGCCACTGCCTTCAGCATGTGCTGATAAGACCAGCCAACACACAACCTCTCGCAAACAATGAGCTCGAGCCCAAAACGTTCATCCTTGAACGCTGTGTACTCAACTCTGAGAGCACGTGTGGGGAGCCTTTAAATATCAGAGGTCACTTCACATCGTATCTAAAAAGTCAGATTGCACAGCAGGAAGTTGCAAAATGGTCTTGTATCCCTGTAGGGTTTTATTGAACAAATACTGTTGATTTGGAGGGAATTTTAAGTCAAAAGTGTTTTCAAACACTTTAAATTAAGATTATGTTCAATGGGTATTACGGTCTTACCTATATTTCCTGGGATCTGTTTCCCTCCGACTCTAAAGCACACCTTAACTTTGACACATACGGCAGGAAGACCGTTTTCAGTGCACTGGGCTATGGACCGGTTCAAGCTCTCAGGCAGCAACATGACAGCATCCACCTTCACTACTGGACGCGTCCTGAAACAACCAGAGTTATTGGGTTAGTTGTCAGGTCAAAAAATTACCACAGGAGGCTAGGGCTATCCAGAAAATTTGTCATACATATTGTGATTAATTATAGGTATATTTTTTCATTGTATTTAAAAAAAAAAGAACTTTATCTTTTCAATTTAAAGTGTTGGTAACACATTACTTGAAGCCTTTATGCATAATGCATTACAAAAGTAGTTTTAATGCATTAATAATGCCTTGTAATGCACCATATAATGCATTATATTATCTCATGAATAATTGTAACCACAGTTATTACATTATAACAAGGCTTGAAGGAAAGTGTTACCAAAATGTTTAATTTTTAGTTTTTGATTAAATTTAGTTGATGAATTAAGTTAGTATATAGTTAGTTAGTATACAGATTTTTAATTGCAGGTTCCCATTATGACAGCTTATCTCATACAATAACATCCCATGCCTGCTGAAGAGACTTTTCCCCATTTCATAAAGTGTTTGAAATTTAATGTTGTTGTTCTTTTAAAGACTTTAACAAAACAGTCTCTGTGAATAATATTCATTTGGGATAAAAAAATATGTGACGACTAGCCCCAGTCTCCATTATAGCTAGGCCCGCTATGGAATACGCTACATAATATGTAGATCTTTTTGCATTTTCCATGCTGATTTTAGAAGATAAGATTTAAATGTGCTAAATAGAGTTCTATAGTCTTATTGGAAACTAAAAAACATAAAATTAGCTTAAGTAAACTTTAGGAGTGGAAGATGTATACAATTGAATGATGGGCGTTCACATTCAGTTATGCAGGAATAAATTCCTATAGACAATACCAAATCTTAAAAGTTACCAAAGCAAATGTGTGTGAAAAACTCATCTGCTGTTTTTACCTGAACACCACAGCTGAGTCTGACAGGAAAGCTCCCACTGCAACATCTGGGTGAGAACATAAAATTCCCTTAAAACATATCTGACTTGGTTATTCTTTCACACATTCCTAACTCACAAGTGCACTAATATTCTTTAAAATATTAAACATTTCTATAAACAAGGCCTCAGTCACTAAAAAAAAACCCAAAAAACTGTCATACTACATTTAACTTGGGGAGTGGCTACTAGTTATAAATAAATAGGGTTAATTTGCATCTTTAATTTTGTGTTAAATGTTTAATGTCTTTTGGCACTTAAAGGGCTCATGAACTGAGAAATCAAAATTCCCTTGATCTTTTAGCATAGAAGAGGTCACAGTACTATAAAAACATCCTGTAAGTTTCAGAACTCAAAACTTTCTCGTTAGTCTAAAAACAGCTTATATTGAAGCTAGACTGCCAAAACGACAGACTGTGGAATGTGCCACTTTATGACGTAATAGTGTGGCTAAACACCACCTCCACAGAAGAAGATCAATGCCTTCTTCTACATCGCTGTGTCTTTAGCCCCGCTTACCGATTCACACATATAGTGTAAATAACAAGAGGTGCAAACGCAGGTCTATGCAAAAATCAAACAATATAGATTGCTCCGAAGAGTGGATGAACTTTATTTTTATTGACATTCCAGACAGTAGGCACGTTTCCATTACCCTTCAAATTGCGCAAATTTAAATTTTGAATTGAAAATATGCCTAATGGAAACACGTCAATTTCGCAAAAACGCCTATATATCGCAAAAAAGTTTTTACGCTCGCATGAGGTGGTTTTTCAGGCAATGCGAAAAAGGAATAATTCGCAAAAATGAAATGGAAACGGCTTTTTCGCATTTACAGGTCACATGGCGTATGTAAAAAGTAATATGATCATTCTTCAATGTACTATAACCTCCAAGAAACACATCATACATGGCTGCTCTCCAGTTATAAGGGGTTTTCCCCACCATTAATGCTTAGACAATTTACACTGCACACGTCTGCGGTGCAGTGTGGCTCTGATACGGCCACTGAAGCTGATTGCGGCCACAATGCTTGTGTTTATTCCAGAATCCAGCCGCGCGACGCACGTTTCTGAAGCGTCTCTCTGTGCTGCTACTGTAAAGATACACGCATAAGCCTCCTTTGACTAAATATAGTCAAAAATCCCACCAAAATCCGTTGCCATGACTTATCGCGAGAGGCAAAAGGTTACGTTTTAGTCGCATAACATTGGTTAATGGAAACGTCGTCATTTCGCAATACTTTTTTATCGACATTTATAAAATATCGCCAAAGTTTTGCGCAAATCTGTAATGGAAACGCGCCTAGTGTCAGTAAGAACTTGGTCCTTCGTTCATGTCATTTTACCACAGATTCGCTTACAAACAAGGCTCAATTCAACGCGGGATTTTCAGAAAGATTAAAACTAATAGACAACGCTGTGCCAAATATACTCAATCCGATGTTGCACCACACAAGTGTGAGTAACTGTTTTTATTACGTGATCACTATTGCTTTGTCTGTTATTACAGATCGTTTGATATATACTGAGTATTTATGCGTTTTTTACCTAAATCACAGCAGCATCCCTCTATGAAGGATGTAGGCTGCCAAACATACTCAAGTGTTAGCCAATCACAGCAGTGGGGGTTTACTTCAGAGTCTACAATCCGCCACGCCTATTCAAACCGAGTGCTCAGATGAGGGGGGTCAAAAGAGAACAGAAAATAACCAATTACTTCTAAATTATGATGTTTTTTATGTAAAAATCTTGATAACATTATAAGTGGACCTCAGAGAACAGTACAAAATAATTAAAAAGGCAGTTCATGACCCCTTTAAATCAAATACCGAGCCAGAAAATTGGTTGCATAATGAAATGGAAGCTCAAGTTGAGCACATCGTATTGTGGGATACAGTATTCCACACACTGTGCTCTAATAGCATAATTGAGAAAAAGTAGTAGGCTAGGTAATCGGGGTATTACATTCATACAGAAGATTTGCATACTGTTCACAGTATACATACTACTACTTTCTTTCAAAACAGCATGTAGTACTTGTCCATTCTGGTACTGTGCATATTTTTCTGCCTTCAAAAAGACAAGAAGAACAAGAAGTTCTGACACATCTGAGAAATTATTTTGAGTCTCTTTTTGATTTGTGATACATATTCAGAAAGTACATCAACAGCTGACACCCACAGCATAATTGATCAAAAATGGTGATCTGAAAACATGTCGCACCATGTCATTTCCTCTAAAGAGGTGTTATAATATGGCCATGTTCACACACTAGCTGGCTGCTCTTCATTTGTGCATGCAGAGTTTGGTTATTTACGGAAAGAGAAAGCACATTTGACTAGTGAATTGTGACCACATTTACATTAAATACAAGTAGTGTGCACAGAACTGAACAACTGAGGCAGTAACACCACTCTCTTAGACACTAATACTTTGTCTGAGATCTAACTCGCGATACATCATGTCAAAAATAGCTAATACCAAACAGGTACACTACCCATCAAAGATTGGGGAAAGTAAGATTTTACTTAATGTTTTAAAGAAGTCTCTTACATAAAAATACAGTAAACACAGTAATATTGTGAAATATTATTACAATTTAAAATAACAATTTTCTCTTTTAATATATTTTAAATTGTAATTTATTCCTGTGATGCAAAGCTGAGTTTTCAGCAGCCATTACTCCAGATTTTAGTGTCACATGATCCTTCAGAAATCAGTCTAATATGCCTAATGTTAAAAAAAGCTTAATATTTCAATATACAGTGCTGTTTAACTATGATACTTTTTCAGGATTCTTTCAGGAAATATCGCAAAAGAACACCATTTATTTAAAAGAAATATTTTGTAAGATTATAAATGTATTTTCTGTCAATTTAAAAAAAATGCATACATTCTGAATAAAAGTATTAATTTCTTTAAAAAAACAAATACTGCTGACCCCAAACTTTTTAAAGTAGTGCAGGTTGAAGATGCTTCCTGTTTCCAGAGGAAACATATGCTATTCATGTTTTTGTGCTAAAAGCGTTACCTGGGTAATTGTTGCTATCCACATCAACTCCTCCAGACACTGATTGGCCAAACATCCTGAAGTTGTCGCCCAACAAAGAGCCCGTTATTCTCTGCATCGAAGAAAGCACAAAGACAGCATTCAGAAGATATTTAGATTCAAAATTTAACATATTAAATGCCAATGGAGTTGTACTGTACTCCAAGAGACATGCAAATGATCTTATTTATGGACGTTCTTACATCTATTTCAAGAGATCCCATGTTAATATAATACTTAAACGGGAGGAAGGTAAACTGATTTAGCAATCCATAATGAAGAGCTTCATAACTAGAAATATAAAGGGAAAAATTTGTCAAATGAGAAATGTAAACATTGTTTTGGGCAAATTTAAATGCCCATGCTCTCTGGAATACTTGATTTTGAATGGTCAGTGACAGTTTATTTTGCAATAATGACCAGATGAATGCATATTATAGCTTTTTTTACTTTGCAGACACTTTATTGAGTGACTTACATTTAAGTTCTACATTTAATTAGTTTGTGTAACATTGGAATCAAACCCATGACCTTTGACATTGCTAGCATCATGCTCTACAATTACTGGAATACCGCAGCACAGTTACAAGGCCACAAGAGCTGCTGCTGATCACTAGAAACATCCTGTATGTAATCATTTTGGCCTGAAGTTAATATAATTAGATGAAGTTCTTCCTAAACATTCGTTTGTATAACTGGATTCTCATGATTTGGATTTGTTCTGATCACTGCTTGAAACTACACATGGAGAGAGAGGGATTTTAGGAAATTACTGCAATTAGACTGAACGCTTAGTACTCCAGTGTGGAAGAGAGAAGAAGAAAGACTCAAAACAATAGGGCAGTTTGCACAGGATGGGGAGGACTGCTCAGGTCTGACCTTTCCCGCCTCCGTTTCATTCTTCCCTGCCCATAATATCAGCATAAACAGCAGCTGGGGAACGTACTTGAGAGAAACTCTGTGCAATACCACTTTTCCTCCCATTGTAGATATATATAGCACCATGCAGATCGTCCTCCTGAGCGGCTCCGATGGCCACATCTGAAACACAAGCACTGTTGCGTTAGCTTTGTTCCAAAACCTAGTGTTCAGTCTAATTAGACAACATTTTAAGAGTGTTGCAAAGCGTATCATTCTAATATGCTGATTTGGAATTTAAGAAGTATTAAGAGGAAAAACTATTATAAATGTTGTGGAAATAGTAAAACATTTGTTTCAGGATACTTTGATGAATAGAAAGTTATAAAAAACAGCACATATTTGAAATCTTTTGAATGTCTTTACTTTCAGTTGAATGCATCCTTGCTTAATACAAATATTAATTTCTTTAAAAACAAATTACTATTCCCAAATTTTGGAATGGCACTGTACATTATTTTGGTCAAATTCTATTATTTTCTTATTTTGGTCAAATGGTCAAATTCTAAAGTAGCATTGCATATATTATATAACATACATATGTGATCCTGGACCACAAAACCAGTCATAAGGTCCAATTTTTTTAAATTGAGATTTATTCATCATCTGAAAGCTGAAAGGTTTCCATTGATGTATGGTTTGTTAGGACAGGTACAACTATTTGAATATCTGTAATCTGAGCTTGCAAAAAAAATCTAAATATTGAGAAAATTGTCTTTAAAGTTGTCCAAATGAAGTTCTTAGCCATGCATATTACTAAAGAAAAATTCAGTTTTGATATATTTACGGTAGGAAATTTACAAAATATCTTCATGGAACATGACCTTTACTTAATAGCCTATTGATTTTTGGCGTAAAAGAAAAATTGATAATTTTGATCCATACAGTGTATTGTTGGCTATTGCTTCAAACATACCTGACCTGTGCTACTTATGATTGGTTTTGTGGTCCAGGGTCACATATGATATATTATTCATAAAAACGCATTCCCATAAAGCAATGCAAGCTCAGTGACAGCATTCATTTCAGAGAAATCATTACAAATATACATAAAATGCATGTGATACTGACAAGAACTGATAGACTGTTATGCCCAATACTTTGTGTGCTAGATATTTGTATGTTTATTAGAATAGATATTAGAATAGATGTTTTCTCAGAAGATAGCTGTCATGACATTAAACATTATTTATATAATAATTTTGGTTTAAAAACAAATCGTTTATGCTGACGCACAGTCAGTAACAACGTGACACTGTGACAATAAGGTGCAAGTTTATGTACTGTACGTGTGAGCAGGCATGTTTCACTCTTTTAACATTACTGTGGTCCATTACGGTAGATGTGTGATTGTTCTTTCTAACCATGCTCTGTCTGTAAACCACACCTACCGCTCTACAGAGAATAATCAAGATCATCCTCAAATCTGATTCCGAGATTAACAAATATCTAGCCACGAAACCACTCTAATGTGTAGATGGGCTTTCTATGACAGGATACAAGCTTTGAAATATAAAGAAGATACAAAACGAGGAAGTGAAACATTGAGGTTTACCATCAAACCTTGCTTGAGGAAAAAAACAAACCCTTACAAGTACCACTTACAGCAAAATACAGCAAAACATGATACAGTAAAATTGTAGTAGACTTGGCTAGTCAAATAAAGCAATTCAGCGTGAGAAACGTACAAAACTGAAGTGGTTTATAAAGGATCCATACTCAAACACTGATGTGTCAGGCAGACATACAGTACTGTACCTGGATATCCGTCATCATCAATATCACCAAGGTTCATGATGGTTTCTCCAAAACGTGCTGCGTAAGAGTCACTCCCAACTAACTCAAAGTCTGCCTCTTTCAATTTAGCCTGCGAAAGAGAGACAGTGATACTGAGGAAGTTTTCAAGAGAAGCATGGCGTTAATTGTTAGAAGCAGATACACAATTGACCACAGCTGACCAAATTGTTTTTGTGCTTCAACTGTGACCAGAAAATGTGCAAACTATGGTTTGAGGTATCATAAAACAACACAATAAATGGTGATAGTCAAGCAGTCATATGTGAAGTGTTAAAAGCATAGTGCTTTTTGGAGTAGGTGGTTAATTTTTGACATTATGGGAAAAGGAAACCTGTTCTATTGATATGGCCTTGGTGGTCACAATCAAAACCAGAATACATACTTCTACACTGAACAAACACAATAAGATAAAACAGTTCTAAATATGCAGATGTAATTTCATCAAATGCATTACAATGGAACTCGTACCATTCTAAAATTACCAATATAGTTAGGAATAAATGGGTGAATTGCATCAAACCCATCAAGAACACAAACCGGTCATATTCCACCCCAAAAGCTTTCTAAATGTGTATATATTTACAAAAAAAAAACTATTATTTTGAAAAAGAATTAAATAATATATAATATAAAATAATATACAGTTAAATAAACATAACATTATATAATGTATATTAAAATTATTTATATATTTATTTATTATAAAATAAATATAATTTACTTCATTATAATTTAAAAATAAAATTAAATTTAGAAAAAATAATTAAAAACTCTAAACTGAAACGTATGTTTACATCTTGGTAGTATTTGATGTAATGTCTTTAATTGATGCTGATTTACATATAAAACAATAAAATAATATTTATTTATTATTTTTTATGCACGATTATGTTTAGGTCCAAAATTATTTTATGTGTGTATGTGTATACACAAAATTAATTTTAAAAGTACTTTTGGTGGTCCTAAAAACAAACAAACAAACAAAACATTTTATTGCTTTTATTTTTAGGGTAAACTATTTTTTGTGAGATTAACCCATAGGTACGTATCAAAACTTAATTAAATATATATCATGTCACTGTCTCACCTCTCCCTGGTTTATGTAGACATGAACACGTCCCTCCTCCCTCACTGAGCTGAACATAGGAGCCCCAACCAGCAGATCGGACAGTCCATCTGCATTCAGGTCAACAGCACATACACTAGCTCCATAATAAGAGCCAAGCTGTAAACAGGAGCAAACATCACTACTGTGTTCATTCAGCAGGAACATGCCCTAGGAACACTTCAAATTCTTGAAATTTCTTACCTCCTTGCCTTTGGTTTTGGCAAGGATTTTCAAAGTGTTGCCCTCAATCCTGAATATGTAGGCCTGGGGTAAAAGAAAACACAGGAATATGGGAAATGGGAACTATAACACACAGCAGCCTAACAATGGATTGTATATGCTGGTGAATGAAATACATTTTCGTATAGTTTCAACACAAATATGAATGGTAGCTCACTGATAAGTTTTTTTCCAGTCTCTGTTTCTTTGGTAAAATCATCAGACACCATAACGTTACTCACAAAACTCATAAACACGGCAAACTCAGCACATCTGCAAATAAAAACCTACTTCCTCTTCCGCACAGATGGAAGAAGAGTTCAGTTTAACCGTTTTACCGTTCACAACTGCCTACAGAGTATAGATGTCAAGAGGGTCTCATATCTAATTCCATTCATGCACAACTACTGATATTCAATATAGCGTATTCTGAAGATTGCTATTAAGCTATAAAAACCTACAGGGTGTGTCAAACAGTCTAACCAAACTAGAGAACTGTGACATTAAACTACTTCAAAATTGGGTCTGTTCTAATAATCAGATGAGGTTGGTGGTGGTGGTGTTAACCCTTACTTTACCAGTCTGTTCATGCTGGGGAGCACCACCCACTATCTCAGTGCTTTGAGGATCTAGAAAGTGTCCAGCACTAACAGCATAACCTGATGGGAAGAAAACCATACGTTGTGGTGAAATGTCCCAACTGCCCATTCAAAGTCCACAAAAACACTGTAAAAATTGTAAAAAAATCTTCACATCTTCCTAATCTACAGAGTTATTATGGTTAGCTAAAATGTGAAATAAAATAAACATTAACTGAAATAAAACAAAATATACAAATTGTATTGAACATAAAAATATTTATATTTTATTTCAGCTAGTTGCCAAGTCAACATTTCTTATTTTCATGTAGTTTAACTTGATGAACTAAAAAACTACATTTTAAATTAAAACTGTATAGACATATTTTTTTAAAATAATATAAATGACAAAAAAACACAAAAAATTACTAAAACTTTAAATTTAAAATGAAAATGGAAAATATAAAATTGACTTGATACTAATCAGTGATACTAAAATATCAATGCTAAACTAACCCTGGCAAGTTACTCGTGTAGCTTGATTCAGTGATATTAAATCACATTTGTGGCTTGAAAAATTGTTCATTTTGACTTTACAATGCTTGTGATAACTGGAAAAAATATATTTTTATTATATTTATATTATATAGTCATTATAGAGAGCCTTCACAAGCAATTTCTTGCTGATGAAATACAAATACACTTTTATATTCACTATAGACATTTCTATTTATTTATTTGATTAATCTACATGACTTTTCAGGCTTGGAAATTAAATTTCCCTGCTTGTCTTCCATGACAGCAGGAACCCTTAACAAAATGTGACTGTAGGGCATGAAGATATTAAATATAAACATTAACATTGCTACATTATTATTATTAGTTGCTTGAAACAAGTGTATAGTGAAAATCTAATTTATACAAATAAATTTGATTTGACTGACTACTTTACTGTTAAGAGAGGAACCCACAAAATCACATGTACAAAATGCAATATCCATGACTAAAATGAGACATTGCTGAAATGTATGTTTGTTTAGAAAGTATAAATAGGTTGCCATGAGATCAAAACAAAGTTACACGTTAGCCATATTTTGCAACAATGTGATGCTCGTAGATTATGCAACGGTGTCTGTTTCCTGTTTAAATAGAAAAACGTTATGCCAGATAACAGCAAAAGTCTGTATCCTGCTGCACGTCTTAAGAAGCTGATGATCACTGGATTACATTCATCTTTTTACATGCTTAATAGTAAACAAATTAGACCACTGTATCTCTAAAACCCCAAAAGGAAAAGCACTTATCAACCAACATAACCTAATACACAAATCTTAAAAAAACAGACCATACAGTATTTCTGTTCCAAAACCTACACAGGCAGCAATTCACATACACACGCCTGCCATTATGGATGTAATGATCTTGTTTTGCAAAAAGGATCCGCACACTGTTGTTCTCTCTTTATTTAGAAAAGTTGAAAGTTGCGGCAACGTTTCGGTCAAAGACCTTTTGCTGCCACTTTTAACTTTTCTAAATAAAGGGAGAACAACAGTGTGCAGATCCTTTTTGCATGATTTGTTTTATCTTTTGATCTTGGAAAATTTGGATGTGCGTACTTTGACTCTTTTTATGTAATGATCTTGTTGCAATGCATTCTGGAATGGTCTTCTCCATGAAAAATACATGCTGCCTTAGAATTTGAATAAAATGAGGTATCTTAGCAGGCAGCACAATAAAAATGCCTACAGTTCTTTGCGTCTCTGATACCTTATAACCTTGCCTATATGCTTACTTGGATTTGTTACAAAGAATACAACGTTAACAATTTCAGAACTCACCTAAATAGCTGCCATAGAGAACTTCACTGTCATCATCCACATAAGCAGCTGAAATGTTGCTTGTGGTGTTGTAGACAAGAACGGATCCGGTCCAGTATGAGGTACCAGGGGCTCCCATGACCATCAGGTCCTACAAATACAAGATATTGTTACCAAATCGATTGAATTCAATGTCAGCTCAATCAAAATGCCATAAAAGTTCCTTATACCTCTGTGAATAAATTTGATATCCCTGCTTGACATGACCCATAACCTTCACCAAACTTCCTTTGATGATCTGAAGAAGAGAAAATGAACACCGGTGCTCATTTGACACTAAACAACAATTAGTTTGCTTTAGGATATGCTAGGTTTAAACCTGTGAACCCCAACCTAACCAGTACAGAAGTAATGATATCTATACCTTTATAGCAGGGGATAATATGACTGGCATGTTTCAAATCTGGGCTGAGTCTGAAGCAAACACCATGCGGCAGCTTGTTCTGATTGTCTCTACTAGAGTAGTAGACATTCTTCCACCGATGTCCACATGCCTGAAATTTAAACCAGAATAGAGTGAACTAAACAGCCTTCATCATACATATTCCACACGAAACTATCATGAAACAATATAGTTCTTTATTAACATTTCGAACTTAGAAGTAAACAGGAGATTTTTCATTAAAAATGAATAATTGTAGTGCATTTATTCACCATAAAAAACATAACCATCAGTTAAAAACTTAGAATAATTACGATTTTTTTAAGCATTTTTGAAAGAACTTGTGCTTACCAAAAGCTGCTTCGATCAAAATACAATAAAACAACAATACTGTGAAATATTATAATTTAAGATTGCTGTTTTCTATTTATTATATCTTAACATCTAATTTATTATTTTGATGGCAAAGCTAAATTTTCAGCCATCAATACTCCAGTCCTCTGATACACTGATTTGGTGCTTAATTATTATCAATTATTATTGGTGCTCCATTATTAATAATGTTTCTTATTATGACCAATGTTAAAAACAGTTTTTGCTGCTTGTTTTATTTTCGGGTTTTTAAAAAAAAATGTTTTACACCAAACATTTGAATGTTAGCATGTCACGGTTTCCTGTGTTCCTGTTTTCAACATTTCAAATATTAAGGAATGTTTCTTGAGCACCATATCAGCATATTAGACTGATTTCTGAAGGATCCTGTGACACTGAAGTTTGGAGTAAGGGCTGCTAAAAAAATCAACTTTGTTTAATATATAATAACTGGAATAAATGACATTTCAAAAATGAATTAAAATAGAAAACAGTTATTCTAACATGCAATAATATTACTGCTGTATTTTTGTTCAAATAAATGCAGCCTTGGTGAATGAAGTGCATGCTTTGAGCAAAAGACATACCAAAACATGGCCTTTTGAGGGCTGCCGGGACAGACTGACACCGAGCCACTGGTTATCATTCTCTGCCAAACAGTGTCTTCCACAGTGCCGTACACCTCCTGAAAGCATGCAGTCAAATTAATACACTTAATATGCCTAAATTAACACACAATCAATCAAGAGCCCAAACCGCTTACGTTGGGAAACTATGCAAAATGTTAGAGACACGCAGTGCAAATGTTTTTCATCTCAAACAAATTCACACCTGTGGCTCACAAGCTCAATTCTGAATGACACAGGATGAGGAGCATGTGGTGAAACTTGCAAAAACAAGGCTACAAATATCTCTGAAAGTATGTTGTGATGCAAAATGAAAGCTTTTCTGAGCATCACTTATGAACCATGTCCATTCCACATCATATTAAATCTTCTTGTAAGACTATTAACAGCAACTAGATCCTGACATTTCAGAAGAAAATTAGTGGGTTTTTTTGCTCATGCAAAACTACACAATGTGGTCTTGTAGATGGTTGCCAGGGTATTGCATGTGGTTGCTAATGTATTTTGAGTGTTTTTAGCCTGTGGTTGTCTCCTGGCCCAAGTGAAAAGGTCTCTAATAACCAAATCTGGTCCCTGTGTATGGCTCAGTCACTCAATGAAAGTCTATTCTAGTTTTTCTCAGCCATTTTATTACTGCCAGGGGAAACTTATATAATCCTGATTGCTTAGAAAAGTAACAGCACACAACACCTCAAAAACCCATCTATAGCACATGAATCGCAGTGAATTACATGCTAAAGTTACAGTAGATACTATGGATTTGGTCAAACCTCTAATCCTAAGTACACGCAATAATAATAGTGATACCTCTCTTAGCAGATGCCACTAATAATGAAACCTTTTCAGACACATCAACAATCTCGAAACGAATGTGTTTGCACTCCAGCATGGCTTTTGGTGGAAATTATTTGTTTAATGCCATTTCCCTTGACTAAACGGAGACATTTTTATTTGCGAGCTATATACTGTATATCCTGTAGCTTGACCTACAAAGAAGACTATCCCCCATCCCTTGTTTCGGGCTGGGATTATAAGCATCCTCTTCCTGACAGGAGGAAACCCTCCACAGTCTGGCTGACCCGGCATGGGGAATTCATTCACATGGCGTTTTCACAGTCAGGCGTCTAGAAAGCACCCACAAGCTCAATCAGAGTGCTTTCAGAAAGTGTGAAGTCTAAACGGTACAACGTTGTCAAATGGAAATGCTTGACTGTTTAGAGTTGGTCTACAGCAAACAGAAGGACGAAAACGAGGGAGAAATCCACAGGAACTGTGGGATAACTTTTATAAATAACATAAGCCCTGCTAGATTATGTAAAGTGTTTAACAGATCATTAAAGTGCATTATGAAATGTCATTAACTGATTTATATTATATTGGTATATTGTCTGCGACTACTGTTGATTATACTTTTTTCATATTTTAAATATATGATCAGTCTTTGGTTTAGCATTAATGACAGCATGACTGGAGCTGACATGGACAAAACCTGATGATCATGTTCTCCGTCATGACTTGAGAGCAATTTTTTAAATTTTTTAAATTTTTTAAATCTGATTATCTAGCAAAATCCTAAAGAGCCCTGCTAGATTATGTAAAGTGTTTAACAGATCATTAAAGTGCATTATGAAATGTCATTAATTGATTTATATTATATTGGTATATTGTCTGCGACTACTGTTGATTATACTTTTTTCATATTTTAAATATATGATCAGTCTTTGGTTTAGCATTAATGACAGCATGACTGGAGCTGACATGGACAAAACCTGATGATCATGTTCTCCGTCATGACTTGAGAGCAATTTTTAAATTGAAGAAAAAACATCTGATTATCTAGCAAAATCCTAAAACAGTTTTTTTCCAGATTTAAATAGGATTTCAAAGTTTTGGACCCCACATGAACTGCTGATTTCATAAGCATTGTATAACAGTTTACTGATGAAATTGGTTGTTACTCCAAAACAAACTCATTGCCAAAGAGTAACCTTTTTAAAAATTAACCTCTTACACAACTCTACCTTTCAGATCATAGATAAAACAGCAAGAAAAGCTGACCTACCAACAGGGAGCTGCTCACATTGGGAGCTCCACACACTGCAGTTGTAGATGGCTCCAGGATTTTTGGTATGAGGATAAAAGCTGGAATCTGCCACAGGCGCTCCAACTATCAGCCTTAACAATAAATATGACATTAAACAAGTGTGTTTTGCCACTTTTGAAACCAACATCAAGATTTTTAGAATGAATGATTCGTGAGAAACGGTCCATCAGTGCCACAAATGAATTTGTATAGTCACTGAATTAATAAGATGTCAGCAAAGCAGCAAGCATAAAATGTAGTTTAAAACCGTTTTAGATGGAGAAAAGCATGTCACACTGCAGGACATGTTTTGCAACCATGAATCCAGGGGCTGAAGTTAATCAGGGCTCGGGGGCAAAAGAAACTCTCACAGATATGCTCATGTGAGGTGCTCATATGAGCAAGTTGTTCTGCAACATTTGATGCATTTCACATTATTTCGCTAGGCCTATATACACTCTTAAAAATAAAGGTGCTTCACGATGCCATAGAAGAACCTTTTTGTCTAAATGGTTCCATAAAGAACCTTCAACATCAGAAGAACCTTTCTGTTTCACAAAAGCTTCTTTGTGGCGAAAGAAGGTTCTTCAGATTATAAAAAGGTAAGAAAGAGATGGTTCTTTAAAGAACCTTTGACTGAATGGTTCTTTGTGGAACCAAAAATGGTTCTTCTATGGCATCGCTTGAAGAACCTTTTAAGCATCTTTATTTTTAAGACTGTAGGCTTCTTTATCAGTTCAGACTTTAAATAAAAAACTAATAATAAAGTCATCTCTGAAGCAATAAATGTGAAAAACCACTCCCAACAACTCTAAACCTTGAAACAGTTACATACTGTGTCAGTAGTAGACAGCTAACAGCTGTACGAATGTATAAAATGTATGCTGGCAGAAAGTTTGATTGCACTCTAAAAAAATGCTGGGTTAAATACAACCCAGTGCTGGGTAAAATAGGGACAAACCCAGCAATTGGGTTGTTTTGACCCAGCAGTTGGGTTACTACACAGAAGGTTGGGTTAAACATTTAACCAAACCGCTGGGTCAAAACAGCCCAATTGCTGGGTTTGTCCCGATTTTACCCAGCACTGGGTTGCATTTAACCCAGCATTTTTTAGAGTGTGTAAAGGTGAAAGCCATGATTTATTCACACGTGAGAACGTATTTTATTTAATTGCTTGGGTTAGAAATACAAATGCACTAAAAATGTAGAAAATGCTCCTGAAAACCAGTCAAAGAGGGCAAATATAAGTAGTTTAAATCTCATTCTTGCCCATTGAATTATAACTTCTCAAGCATGTTTAATGCACTTACCATGAGTCCTCAGCATGCTGATGAAGCAGAACCGAGTATCCGAATAATGATCCATTGGGTCCATGAAAAACTAAAGGATGCTCCACATCCAGATTGTAGCAGTCACACAGAATCAACAGGTACCACAGGATCTCAACTACAGATCTCCACTTCAGCGAATCTCTAGTGAGTAGTGATGAGTTCATCTCGTCAACAGTCATAGCACCACACAGAACACAAAAGAAAGCCAATGCTGCCTTGGAACAAAAGTGCAAAGAGGTCTAATAAACTTTTGGTAAAGATATCAGGAAGTTGTCATTGTAGTTGTGAGCTCGCGATGTGCGCTCGCCTGTTGCGCTCCGGCATCTCATCTGCTCGAGCCCCTCGCGTCTCATGACGTCACAGCGCTCTGAGTCAAGGGAAGCCTTTGAAGTGAGTGCGGGCGCTCCGCAGGGGCGGGAATGCGCGGATGCTTCTCGCGCGCTCTAACGGTCTCCAGACTCTGAGGAAATGATGAAGAACACGATGTATTATCCGTCACATGTTCTGTTCGACGCCCCAAACGAGAGTGAATATCTCAAAAGTAATGCTTTTTCCAAATTTCTTATTAGAAATATGATCCGACTTGACCAGATTACTTGGATTTTTAATTTGACTTATTTTAACCCCTTAAGTGCCCCCGGCCCACAGGTGGGCCCAATGGGCTCTTTTGTTGTTGTCTTTTTTCTCTTTCACATATTTTAGTAATCATCATAAATTATGTATCATTTGAAAGCTTAAAGCCTCAGAATTCATCCTGTGAAAAAACGTTTTAAAATCGGACATTGCTTTACCATGGAAATGGTACTTTAAAATCTTTTAGCAGTCTCCTCCCCTTAGTGGGTGGAGTCAAGTGTCATATTAAAATGTATTACGGTCTTTTAGGATCAAAAGTTTTTATAATATTGACAAAATGCATATATTTGGAAAGGTCCGAGACTCAGGATTCAATATTTTTTGATAGAAGTAATATTGACAGGAAAATTTAGACCTTCGTGACAGAAAAATGCATCAACAAAAAAAGGCACCCGGTGGCTATTTGTGGTATAACGCCCTAAATAAAATCTCACAGGAACCTCCATTTTTTTATATATCAACTTCAAATTTGGAACATAGCTTATTTAGACATAAGGCTTTCATTTTATATCAATTTTGGATTCAGAAATATTTTGTAAAATATTTACTTTATGTAAAATATAAAAAAATTGATACAGTGCATTTTCTTTACAGTAAATTTGAACTTCTATAACTTTTTGATGCTTTCATATTTTGAAAGGATTCCACTTCTGCAGTAATCTGCAGATTATCTTCTTTAAAAAGTCCAACCTTAGGTCTGTATTCCAAAGTTTTCATGAATTATAATCATTTTAGTTTGGATAGTGCAATTTCATGTCTATGTTCAAAAATGGGGGGTTGGCACTTAAGGGGTTAATGCAATAATTTATTTTAGTGTCACCACCGGTGGGCCCAATGGCGCGTTTGTATTCATTGTCTTTTTTCTCTATAACATATTTTAGTAATCATAATATTATGTATTATGTATTAATGATGTATCATTTGAAAGCTTAAAACCTTAAAACCAAAATAATTCATCCTGTGAAAACCATTTCTAAATCAGACATTGCGTTACCATGGAAATGGTACTTTCAACATTTTTATTGGTCTTCTCCCCTTAGTGGGTGGAGTCAAGTGTCATATTACAAAATGCATTACGGTGTTTTAGAATCAAAATTAGAATAAAAAATGTTCAAAGATTGGTTATTTTTTGATAGAAGTAATATTGACGAGAAATTTGTGACACAAAAATGCATCAAGAAAATTCAATGGAGTTTTGATGACTGTGGATGATTGGTATAAATTAATGCCCTTAAAATCTCACAGGAACCTAATTTTTTTATCAACTTCAAATGTGGAACATAACTTATTTAGACATACTGTAAGGCTTTCCTTTTAAAGCAATTTTGGATTCAAAAATATTTTGTAAAATATTTATTTTATATAGGCTAAAATGAATATATATATATATATATATATATATATAGAGTACAGTTATATATACTTATATATTACATACTGACGGCAACTTATATAACTTTTTGATACTTTAATATTTTGAAATGATTCCACTTCTGCAGATTGTCTTCTTAATCTAATTCAAAAATAATCCAAATAAAAAAATGTATGTAGGTAATTATATTTTATATTTGGAATTACACTGCATAAATGAATGATTAAAAAAATGTTTCAATGCTTGATAACCACCTTTTTGAAAATTGACTTATTGTGGTAAAACGCGGAGCAAGTCTTAAAATCTCTCTGCTGGGGTTTTATTAGGTCAGTAGAGAATATTTAAAGAATTTGAAGAGTGAAAAATATTATTTTGAAATACAGAATATTTTTCAAAACAACGAGAAAGTCCATTTTAACAGCACTTGTAAGTTAGCACTAAAAATACTTTCAGAAAGATTTTTCAAGTTATATGGTTGACTTGACACAAACTGCTTACATTTGTTCATACATAAACTTTAGATTTACAGGTCATGGAAGCAATTATAGAGGAATGCAATGGGTTTTATGGACAGTTGGTAATGTCTTGCAGCACATACAATGTACACAAATAAAGTAGTGCTTTTTAAAGGCTTTGTGAAAGCTTATTTCGTTTGGGTGATGTCTGTCTACAACCGGTCTATCTGACAATCATCTTTTCAATGATAAATCTTTTTTCACTTTCATGAGAGCCTTATGACCATGACAAAGCAGATTATTACGCACACACGCGGCCTTATTAAATGTGTGAGTCTCAGGATGCCTCAGACACAATTCCCCTCCGAGTGATAATAGCGAGCGCACATGTGCTGTGGATAAGGAGCACAGTGTGAGTCCTGGGACATCATCAAGTCTCTCAGACACACTTTAAGCACATTTGTGTGTCACTTTTTTTTTGCTCTGAGACTCACAGTTTGTGTGTGCATTTCTTTCAGTACCTATCAATAGTTACAGCCGCTCTCTCCTTCCTCCATAGGGAGGAATCCACAGAGACTCTTTAATAAGTGTGAAAGAGAGTCTTGTCTCTCTCTCTCTCTCACTCGGTTTTTGAGAATGAGAGGCAATGAATGACCAGCCAGCTGCAGCACTCACTTGGTTATTCTGGATTTTGTATTTTGCTTCTTAAAAGCGTTTTTATTTTTCCTTTTACGTTAAAATATTTGATATTTTGAATAGCCATCAACAGAGGGTGATGCTTTTTCCATGCTTCATTTGTTTTAAAATACAGTAAAAACAGCAATATTGTGAAACAATTTTACAATAAAAAACTGCTTTCTATTTGAATATATTTTAAAATGTAACTTATTTAAGTGATACAAAGCTGAATTTTCAGCATCATTACTCCAGTCTTGTGTCACATGATCCTTCAGAAGTCATTCTAATATGCTGATTTGGTGTCCAATTAACATTTCTTATTATCTGTTGAAAACAGTTTTGCTGCTTAATATTTTTGTGGAAATCGTGACACTTTTTCTTCAAGTTTCTTGGATGATACAGTATATTTCTGTCACTTTTGATCAATTTAATGCGCCTTTATAAATTATAAGTATTAATTACTTAATTACCCAAACTTCTGAACTGTTGTGGAGCTAACTGGATCATGCAAAACAACCAAAATACGCCCCCCCCATTCCCAGCTTGATATTGCAACCCTGGCTGTTTGTTTGACCAATGACAAACAGTAGGAGTATCTGGGAAACCTATTTGAAAACAATCAATATTTTTTACATTCACAGTAGAGATTCCAAAATTATATGCTGTACCTTTTAACTATGCTGAGAGTCGAATGCTTAAAAAAAACATCTGTTCTGTCCAAGAGAGTGGCCCTGATATTTTCACCCTTGCTGATGGAGTTTATGAAATACGTTTTTGGATAAACAAACAATCCTTAAAGTGTGTTGTGGGGACAAAAGGGGGCTGATTTGTGGAAACTTCTGGGAGGTCCTGAAAAAACGAGAGAGAAAAGAATGAACTGAATTTTCAGAGGTGCAATAGTTGTTAAATTTACTAACACGTGCAAATGCAAAGAGCAGAAAATAGAGCAAAGGTCATAGAAGGGATGACTAGTTCTTCATGGGTATTTTGCATGGTCATTGCGTTGCATATTGCTGATGTTTGCACAAGACACCACATGCAAAGCATGAAAAACATGCACATATACAGTATATATGGTTCCACATTCAGCCAAATGCATTTCACAACTTCACTTTTCATGTTTCCCTCAACATCACAGTTCATAAACACCAGACAAAACTTTCCTACATTGATTTCCTACATTTTAAATTACATTTAATTTAATTATATGATATTTAAAAATTTAAAAAATATTATTTATTATTACGTTTGTTTGGCAGTGTTGTTACCAACTAATATTATATATATATATATATAGGAATAAAATTTTTTTGAATTATTTGTTTTTAAGCACTAAAATTACTAAAACGAAAAAATTATAGATACACAGAAATATAAAAAACACAAAATTGCTAAAATCTCAACTTAACTCTATGTATAAAGCACTTTCAACACCACAAGTGATTTTAAACAAGTTTCATTTTAATTTTAGTTTACATTAAAATTAAAATGACATTATAAAAATAAAAGCTAATTAAAAATATTAATACATACTATACTAGTACATAAATAATAATAAATTAACACATCTCAACCAGCCTAGCTTAACTAATTGCAGGATCTTTTGTCCAATTAATGGCAGATATGTAGCAGGTTGGTAAAACTGAAATTACACACTTCACATTTAAACATCCTAAAATGTGTTAAATGGAGTACAACACTCATATCAGTAGCTGATAGCCTCAAATTAGCTCAAATATTTAATAAACTTTCATGTAAAGGGGTGCACATAACAAGGTACATTTATTAACATTCAAATTACAATAAACCAGTTTGTGCCATAGCCATGTTGTAGTAAACATTAATATTAAACAAAAAGCTTTACCGTCACTGATTCCCTCCATTGCCCTGTAGGTCATGACCTTCTAGTGATTCACAATCAGTTTGGGAAAAATGTCCATGCTAACACCGGCCAGATGGACCGCTGAACGTTTCCACAGTTGTGCTTTTTTAAACTATTACATATACTGGGAATAAAAGCCATGCATAATTATATAAAGGGTTATTACAGCATTAGGGGATTATTTTGAATCTGCAGATTAGTTAGAGTAGCACATGAGTGGAGTTATTCTAAAATAACTATCTTTTGGAAAGCTCCCACTTTGAACACATCGAGGGTCTGCTATCTGATCCTGCAAACAAAGTGGAAAGAGAATGGATGTTAAGATAAAATAAGTATTATATTGAACAATCCTGATAAGAGTCCATTTTCCTCTTCGCTCTGTGCCGTTATGGCCTCTGGGAGCAGAAGTAATGCTTGATGAATTGCCTTTAACATCAAAATGTCCTTGTTATGTGAAACACCTCATGACCCGGGTGACGTCTCTAGAGCTGCGATAAAAAAAGCAGATTTGCTAATTATCGTGTCAACATAGAATCTGCTACTGCTAAACTTCATATAAAGATCTGCAGATTTCCCAAAATTGGAATGTCCATCAAGTTACATAAAGGTTAGAAAGTGCAATAATGTGAATGTAATCATGGTTAAAAGAGGTTGTTGTGTAAAATGAGTGGCCTATTGCTTTTATATAATATTGACTACATAAAAATATTATGGGCACAATACAAAATAAACAATACAATACAAAATAAACAATACAATACAAAATAAAAAATACAATACAATACAAAATAAACAATACAATACAAAATAAACAATACAATACAATACAAAATAAACAATACAATACAATACAAAATAAACAATACAAAATAAACAATACAATACAATACAAAATAAACAATACAATAAAAAATAAACAATACAATACAATACAATACAAAATATACAATACAATACAAAATAAACAATACAATACAATACAAAATATACAATGCAATACAAAATAAACAATACAATACAATAAAATACAATACTAAATAAACAATACTAAATAAACAATACAATAAAATACAATACAAAATAAACAATACAAAATAAACAATACAATAAAATACAACACAAAATAAACAATACAATACAAAATAAACAATACACAATAAACAATACAATAAAATACAAAATAAACAATACAATACAATACTAAATAAACAATACAATACAATACAAAATATACAATACAAAATAAACAATACAATACAATACAATACAAAATAAACAATACAAAATAAACAATACAATAAAATACAACACAAAATAAACAATACAATACAAAATAAACAATACA